AAACACACTCATATAGTTATTAGATACTGCATAACACCATAATATTATTTTTTATAAAAAATATTATTTGTGCTTACATCTATTTGAAATATTAAAAAAAGAAACATATCATTCTGAGTTTCAATTTGCAGTTGCATATGCACAGAATTGAATGTCTTACATTTAAATTGCATCGTCCGTATTATTTTGTAATTTAAATAATGCAGGTTCGTTTGATGCAATACTGTGTACGATAGAATTACAAATATGTACGATTAAAATTATTTTGTATCAATGAAAGTCCCAGTGGACAAACACGTACAAGAAAAAGCAGAGAAAGTGTTTAGATGCCCCTTGGGTCTATTGTAATGCACAACACGTTTTTGAACGGCTTTATTTTCAAAGCTTGATTTCGAGTTGTTTACATTGTAGTGCTAGCAACATTTACCTGAATAAGTATTACAACGTCAAGAAACAAGAGATGCCGATAGTTCGTGATACCGTAAAAGTTTTAACAGTTTCACTATTTACTTTAACAGGTAATAGGCATAGCTTAATGTTAACTAAAATCGACTTTCTATGGCAATGTCCGTGGAGGCCAAGCTTTTTTTAAAAAACATGTATGCGGCAGCTGTTCATACATTACGATTAGGCCGAACGCGTGTTAATTTATTAAACAATTAAACAATAGTATAACCTGACTAAATGAGTCTTAAGTTTTTTTCAATACAAATTAATTGTTTATATTTATTTTTAATTAAATTAAATCACCAATTTTTTTATCAAGGTTTTACCAATTACTTAGGTATGTTTTTAACATGAAGGCAGCAAACAGATGTCAATACTTATATTATAAATGTTATAGTGAGTTTGTTTGTTATGCTTTCACGCCCAAACCACTAAACCAATTTAAAAAAATTATTTCTTAAGCTACGTTATCAGCGGGTAACGTAGGTTATTTTTTACCGCGATAACCGACATAAATAACTGCATTAGGTGTATCTATGTTGTATTATAGAACTTTAAATAAGAGTTATAGAACTTTCCAGCAATAGCCAGTTCGAGTTTAGCTTGAGGAATACAACCTTGAACTTCTTCCACTCCCCAAATAATCTGTATGAAGAATATGATTTTCTTTCTATTTGCCTAGCTTTTCCTTTCAATCTAAGTGGATTTCAATTTTCGATCCTTTGATACCGTAAAAGACCAAAGACAATCAGCTTGCTTCCTATAACATGATTGTGATGATGTGGCTGTTTAAATACGCCTCTGCTTTGCCATTCGGGTACAAAGGCGTTAATATATGTTTTCTATTACCTATACTTTAATGTACGCCAAAGGCGTGCCCTTTTCTGAGCGGTCAGATCCGCCGTCCACGCCGGTGCACCGTACTGTGCCCCGTGAACAGCCGTCTCGTTGAGACGCTGGGTCCACCCAAATTGGGTCAGTTGCCCTAGGTCAGATGCAAGCAAGCTGTCGGAAGTGCTAGTCAAAAAGCCACCTCCTGTCGAAGATAAGACCCAGAAACTTCATCTTATACATATGCATGCTTTTTTTTATTGAAATATAATATTTTTTCCTCTAATTTCGGCAATATGTGAGAGGGATTTCCTGAAAGGGGACGGAAAAAAGGAAACTTTGCTGTGCTGTAGTTGACCGTCAGAAGTTAGTAGGTGGGATGTCAGATATTACAAATTACAACAAATAACAATTATGCGACTACGGTAAGGCTAACTAGTTTATTATTGTAATTTACATGTATTATATATATTTTAATATGTAAATTATATAACTTGGAATACTTATTATACCAAGGGTCACATTATTGTATTTGAATAAGATATAAACAAAATGATTAAATATTGACATTACCTTACTTTAATTTTTTACAGACTTATATTTATCATCTAAATAACAACAACAATGAACCTATGCCATGCGTTACTTATAGTCTACGGTTATGTATAAAGAGGTTCTTTAACTGACTTATAGAGTTTATGGATTTATTTACGTATGAGTGCATACGGGTGTTTAGTACATAAAGGCTCAGCTATCGTAACTTGGTTGAAACGTCAGGTAGTGTAAATATATATAAACATGTACATACAGTTGTACACTCTAATGATTAGTGATCCTAACTGCTAAACCCAGAGGTCATGGGTTTGATTCTCACTCAGGACAAATAATTGCGTGATGACCACGATCATTTGCTTTCTATCTGGGTGTAATTTATCTATAACGCTTTGAACATGTTGAAAAGATGAACGAAGAGTTAATGACTAAAAAAGTTTATATGGCTCCTGTGAGTGGTCGAGCCTTTCCAAGTAGGCTCCGAAAGTCATATACTGACCAGGGCCTCTGAAGAATGTAGAAGAGTCGAGAACTATAGGTCAGAATAGTGAAAAATTGCGTTCTATCGTCTATGTCAACTCTGGCCAAAAATGTTTTGTATTTCTGCTGAAAAAATTGACAAAATTTTTACGGGAAGATTTGAACTTACGACTTACAACGCCTTAAGGGCGGACCGCTATTTTGCGTTAATACATATTTTGAAAATAAAGTTTCTCTCATTCAATAAAAACATGCTCAATAAATAGGTATTTGTTGAAATATTTTAACTTTCTTAGTACCTTTACTATAATGCAAATTGGAATATAGAAAATAAAAAAAGCTCATCCATGCAAGTTGGATCCAATGTTTTTCTTAGTCGATATACTGCACTCAAGGCAAACCGTTGACGTCTTATGTCCATACAAGATTTAATATTACGCTAGGACAGTAGCCGACAGTAGGTATCATCAAAAGAGCGTAGAAGTTCGCACAAACATCAAGAAATCTAGGACACTGTTGACATTATGCAAAGCGAGGCTCAAATATATAAATCTAAATTAATATAAGGGTCGTCTTCATTGGAATGTTCTAACTATAAGATTCAATGTCTCACATCAACAGCCTTTAATAGTCCACTGCTAGACATAGGCTTCTCCTTAGAAAGGAGGTTTTGGCCTACTATACCACGCTGGCCAGACGGGTTGGTACAGGGTTTGTGTCAAGTTTTCCTTCTCTCTGCAGTTCTGGTTGTCCTGCGTTAGCTGAATTAGTCGCCTCTTACGACCACGACGGGATGAATAGGGGTGGTGACACTCCGTATTCTTAATCCAATATTCTTAATCCATCATCACACGGAATGTCTAGTTACTCATTATTCTTAGCTTTCATATTCTTAGCATTCTTAGCTTTCATTCATAATAACTTAGTGTGTAGTCCATACAAAATCATAATGAATAAGCATTTCAATTTCCTTTTAATCTGACCGCTTTTCTTTTCGTAAATTTTTGTGAGTAATGATTAAAGGTACCTTATTTAGTAGACTCTCGATTGAAATTCTTTGTGTATGAGTTCATCCTTTTATGCAGCAATTTACATACAAAAAGGAATCTTAGGACTTTCTTTTGTCTATAAACCACTGTCGCTTAGCTCATAGAACAGTGACGTCGGTCAGCAACCTTCAACAGCTCTGCTAATGATACGTTAATGCGCTTGTCGGCGAATGGGTGCCGTGGGTAACAGTAAAATAAAGATAAACTTCACCCACTGTTTTATACTTTTTTACCTATCTCCTGAACAGCTCGTCCGCTCCAAATGCATAGCCAATGAGTCAGTCAACCATGTAGAATATGACTTAAATGGTTTTAAGCATACCTTTATGCAAGATTTTTATAAAACATTCGTTAATTTGAATACCGATTTAAGTAAGTATACCTATTTTAAAAAAAATGACTTTAATGTATACTTAGTTAGATTATTACGGACTAAGTGAATAAATTATTTTTGTTGTTTTATTGTTTTAAACAGGAAGCTTTGACATCGCATTACTTAGACATTCAAAGAAATATTTAAAAAATGTAAATAAACGTAACGATAAATTATTATTAACTAAGTATTTATTAGTTACCGCACAGAACCATGTACAAATATGATTAATATTTAACAATTATTTAAAACCTTTTTACTTAAACCGCCACATAAGTATAGAAAAAAGCACCTATACTAAAAATTAAGCTAATTATTATTTTTTATTGCAGTCCAATTAAATGGTTAAAAATAAAATTACAAGTTATATTTCAGCACTTACCAAGTGAAGGTAAATACATAAACTTCTTGAACACATTTTTAATAAAAACTGTATATTTTTAACTATAAATAAATAATATTGTATTTGTGCGACACACTTTTATACGCAAATTATCGTCCGAATGTATTGATGCATTCGCGTGAATGGAAGGGCGTGCGGTCGACGCACTGCCCGCGCAGACAAGTGGTGTTCTTGTTCAATTTTCATTATAACGGGAGTTCCGCTGGGAGTCCTCAAGCGGGCACGGGCGCCTACTTTACCTTACCTTCCATAGCGGTAGCTCTCTCTCTATGAATACTTGGTGTTAGCGCCATCTCTTCAACATTATGCAAACTATATTGTCCTATCTCTCTCACACCCTATTCTCATGCACATTAAACTATTGTATAAGGTTATAAAAATTAACTAAAAATAGGTATTTAATGTGATAGTTAGAAGTGATAATCGATTGGATTATTTAAGCGCTGTAAAATATTCAGTCTGTCTATAATTTATGTCACGATACTTACAGTGTTATGGTGTGTACTTTTAGTGTTTTTTTGCATGTAATGGAACGTGTCCTGTCATACACCACATGACCACATGACAGAAAACATTCCACTAAATATTCATTAATAACTCAAATATTTTCTAAAGCGCCACTTAATATTATGTTTTGTTTGATATTTTATTTATCGATAGGCAAGCTTAAAATTTTTAAAGGAACCAAAGAGTTAATTGGACACAACTTATGTCATTTTTTTTATTCAATTTGTGGTTGTAAGATTTTTATACCTATGACAAAATGATTATTCTTCGAGAATAACCTGACGGCTTATGCCAATATGACATTTCACTTAGTTTAGTGTTGTAAGACTTGTAAGAAGAAAAGAAACAACACTAAAACATGGCCGCATGGCTCAGTGACAGCAACTCGTCGTCGACTATACAAACACAAAACTCTTTTAATCCGATAACAAAGCATTTTTCAAAAAAGGATCAAAACCAAACAATATTTACAGATGTTAGCAAAGACTTTGTTAATTTTCAAGTGAGTGTGTTGAATATTAACTCTCCTGAAAGTGGCACAGTACCGAAAAACAAATTATCTGTCAAGGACACAAAGGAAAACATTGAAGTTTCGACGTAAGTTAAACTCTTTATTTAGGTGTTTGTTTATCGTCACTTTGAGTTTCAATAATTCTATTGTTGCGTATTATCAGCGCTTTTCTGTACTCCAATCAGCTGTTTGTCAATAGTATTCCATCTCACTCGCACTTATGGAAATATAAATAAGTGGTATTTTACTGGATGTATCGCTTTTGGGCATTCTATTTTGGTACATTACCATCACGATGTGATGCGAATATCCTAATTTTGTACCACTAATGAGTACACTAACGAAAGGCGAGTGAGAGGTATGTCAATCCAGAGTAATTACTTCTATACTTCAAATCTTAAAAATATTACTCTACTTATCTTTAGCTAGATTTGCTCTAACCTGACCAGTTTAAACAAAAAAAAATATTTAGCCATTTCCATATAATATAATTTTTAAAAAGTTATATAAAATGTATTATTGGCGATGTAATTTTATTATAATTGCCTGCGAATCTTTAAGTATTTGTTCTCAGAACCAACAAAAATAGCTTAACACCCACACAACACCTATGCTAACAACATGTTTTTATTCAACACAGTTTACCAGAGTTGTTTGAATTTAGAACGCAAATCAAGTTTTTCCTCTCTCTTTTTTATTAGTCACGATGACACAGCATCAGATATGCCAAAGTCGAATGTTGAAACAAAGGCTAACATGGATAAGAACAAGAGGAGACAAGAGGACAACAGCGCGAGGTACAGATGTGAATATGAAGGGTGTGAACGCACATACAGCACAGTTGGAAACCTGCGCACACACATGAAAACACATAAGGGTGAGACTGCATTAACACACAATACAGGACTCTAAGACCTGCTTGACCATATGCTTCTCACAAATATACTTTACCACTCAACCCTCCGAAACCTACTAATTTAATGCATTGTCTCATCCTGAAGTAAACTATGCCTGTGAACCTAAACACAATGTAATGTGTGTATTCAAGTAAAATCTGTTTACAATAAGGAAACATGCTAAACTAAATCACCTAAGTCTAAAGTGCAATGAATTATTACTGGAAGTGATAGTGTTACTATAAAAGTCAAAGCTTTGTGAGGTTCAATTGTTATTTGTTAATTTATTCATTTAAACGATAAAACTTTCATCTGTCTTTGATATGTCAGCAGTCACAATATAGTTTGCCTCATTTTCACTAGTCAATGCCTTAGTATGTTTTTGTAATATGCGGAAGTCTCCACAAATGGCTTTTTATTATTTATGTAACCACTTGTGCCACTTTATTTGGTTCATTTTGAGAATATAAAAATTTCTATTATACATTGTATTGATCTGTATATATTTATCTATATACAAATTTTGTTCATTCATGTTTGAGCCCTTTAGTACAGTTTGTGACTCCTGAGTTGCAGGCGTTAATGGGCGGCGGTAGTCACTTTAAATCAGGCGACCCGTCTGTTCGTCTGCCTCCTCTTCCATGAAAAAAAGGATCAGAAATATTATTTAACATCGACAATCTGACTGAAATACATCCTGCAATATTTTTCGTATAATTGACACCCTTAGACCGAAAGGGACCTAACTTTTATAATTATAATTTCCATTTATTTTTACGAACATTTTTTTTTAATATATCTAGTTTACTTAAGGTAATTATAACTTCACTTTAATAATATGTTACTTTCTACATTCGTCAATCTATTGGTGTACGTATACAGTGTGCATGCCTTTTATAAGTCCACCTACACATAATAACTGTATGCTCCTTTCAATGTTGTCTATGAATGCTATTATCTATAATAATAAATAAATAAACTCTACTAGTGATATGCCGGATCGTTAAAAAGTGATTCCGCGGATAGTGATAACAAAATTATTAGTCTTGATTCGCGAATACGGATCTCCAGTTTTTGCTTAGTTAATATCTAGTATATAGTTAATATCTATACGCGTAACGTTGAAACAATAGTTGACGTTTAGGACTATACCATAAGACATGTACCATATATCACAAAGATTCATGGTTTTATATCGTTATAAAAAAACCCAAATAGGACCTTATGACTAAAGTATTAGTAACTGTTTTTTATCGTGAGAGAGCACATTTGGGCCAGGCTCAAGGAGAGTGATTCTACGGCCTTCACAGAGAGCTTAGTGTAAGTTTATTTCACTTATACTTGCTCTCGACAGCAAATATTGCGATTGGTGAAGATTTCATTGCGGGCCAATCCGGCGCCGAAGGCGGTCACCGTGACGATAGAGTAGATGGAAAATAAACTTGCACTAGGCCCTTAGAAAACTGATGACTGAAAACTGGTGAAAACAAGAAAAGAATCGCTTATTCTTTTCTTGTTTTCACCGAGTCAGAGAGGTTACTGGACGCCCAAACCACTAATACTGGGGGGGAGAGGCTCAACGTCAACCCAAATGTGACTTGAGTTGCAGTTGTTCAAGGACGGCGATAGTCGCTTACTATCAGGTGATCCATCTGATCATTTGCCCCCTATGGACAGAAAATATTAGAATAAATTATCACTTAAGTTACTGACGAATTGTGTAACTTAAAGAGTTCGTTTTATGTTTTGTTTACATTGACTTGTAAAATATCTACTAATTTTAAATACACACAATAACTTCGAAATTAGAGGTGTAAAATTCGTGATCGAACTCGATCGGCCGATGTGACAAGCTAAAGATCACTGCTACTGCTATAAGTGCCTATCTATATACCTATACATATATAATACTTACTTGTTTTTAAACTAACTAGAGATCGTTTGTTGCTAGTTATAAGACCATGAAACTAAATTACGTTTTATTTTATTTTGCTGACCAGTATAACTTAACTGCCAATATATCTACAGATTTTTCGTACGTGTGATTGTAAACGACACCACTGAACCAGACCACCGCATCAATACAACGCACCGTCTTTAAAAAAAAATAGTTGACGGCACCACCGCTGACTAGTGATAACGTGAAATAAAACAATTCGTTACGTGTTAATTTTTAATGATATTTGGTCTAGTTGACAGGGATTCCTTCATTATAATAAAAAACAACTACTTAAATTAATTTATAAAACGTGATGCCATAATTATACAATAACCATTCATTTTTTTCATCTTATCTTTGTTTCACTTCATGCGTCTTCTTTAAAGCAACTTCTGGAAAAAGCTTTTTACAATGGTCATGGTGATCTTACGAATGAAAAATAATTGATATCGAGAAATCATAAGTTTTGTGTTAGAACTTAATTACGGTGGTGCCGTTAACAAAAAGAATTGTAGACGATGCCCCAGTTGTGTGGTTTTGTAGTGTCGTTTACTATGCACGTAGCAGGATATAGTTACCTAGTAAGCTGCTACAAGGTAAGAACTATTCGTTGGATGCAGCACAAGACCGGCTGTTGTGGGAACTTTGGGGTGGCTTTGTTCAGCAGTAGATGGCTTCTTTCGGCTGAGATATTGATGATGATGACTTTTTTCTTATTGTAAGTGTGTAATGAGCCTGTATATGGTCAATAGATTGGCGATTATTACACATATATATTACTGAACACGAACATAATATTATAGACAAGTCACACATACAGAATAAATGATCGTGTTTTTCACCAAATCATTCAGTAGCTCAATCACAAACAGTTGTGTTGTAACTACTGATATGCACCTATATACCTAGCTTAATTGTTGGATATTTGTTTCATAAAAATTGATCGCATTTCCAAAAATTTATCATTTTTGTCAAATGCGATCAAACCTAAAAAAAAATAATTATTTGCTAATAGAGTGAAAAAGACGGGAACTTTCGGTGAAGATCTTTACAGAATCTTTTCGTATGTAGGTGCTAATTTTACAGAATAGATAATAATACCTAATCCAATAGAAACATATTGAAATTTTTGCTTACTATACTTACAATGTTATCGCTGCTAAGATATAAGAGATACGAAATTATGTAAGAAAGATAGGTAGTTATTTATATCTCTATATCACTATATAGGAAGTACCGGTATATGTAATATATCATGTAGTAGTTTACTTCTATAAAGTATGTACCTATTTTGATACTCATTTGGTGTCCCTGTCCTGGTGGACTCCAGATCCCGACTTCTTAGAGCTCATTCTCCGTTTTTCTTATCCCATTTTTTTTTTTTTTTTTTTAATTTAAAAAAGACAACTCCCGCATTAGGAATAAATCCTGTGTCGCGGGGGACTTTACAAACATACATGAAACGGACACAAAGAACACCCAGACTCAGAACAACAATTTGTGGATTACACAAAGTGTCGTCCCATGTGGGGTTTGAACCCACAACACTCGGCGTAGTAGGAAGCGGCGTGGTGACCGCTTAAACCACTACGCCATCCGTGCAGTCGAATTCCTTTGCTTTTGTGCTACCCTAACTAACTTTCAAACTATTGAGTCCCATAATATATAAATAACATAATAATATACAAAAAAAAACCTTTCGAATATTATGCATTCCGACGATCTCAAATAATATGGGGAATTAAAGTAAAAGCGGTCTGTGGACCCCCTCTCGGGACGAAGTTCCTTTCGCTTTTTGGTAGACGTTTGCTATACAGTTATTATAATTTATATTATATCATATCAAGTTAATAGAGTTAAATTAAAATAACTATAGCAAGAAGTGTGGGAAAAAAAGTCTTGTTATACATTTTTCGGTCTCGCTCCCATCCGCTCAGGGCGTGTAACGCGCGATAAGAAACTTTGTTTCAAAAATCCTTTTTAGAAATAATAATGAAGTTATTATAGTTTTTGGAATAATGCACTCGAGTACACTCGAGTGCAATATTCCCTTGTTATTGTTGTTGAGTTTTTATTTGTATTGTATTTATTGTTTAGAAAATATATATACCTACAGTATGTCACGACAAATTAACGTAGTTTTGTAGAGACAAGCCCGAAAAATGGTGTACGATGTGTATTGTTTTCTCAAAAAAGGCGAGAAGAATTATGTTGAAACATTGAAACAGACTGCGGTGGCAACAAAAATATCTATCAGTACCGTAAGGCGAATTATTAACGAACACTCGACGATGACGATGATGTAATTACTCCTATCCACAGTCCTATTTTCTGAGCCTATTCCTAGCACCAGTTCTGTTTCTGCTGGTTTGGAGCTAATCGAAGAAATATCTTACTTACCTCAAGAGTAAATTCTAAGATCAAGAAAATTTCTTTATCAAACCAAAGGCTATTTTCTCCTAAAAGGAACCTTAAAAATAGGTTACTGTCATTTTTAGCAACAAATGTTTATTTTTACTGTATTTAATATCTAATATTTTATTTTAGTTTTAAAATAAAGTAATATTTTTTTACGCACTCAGGAATATTATACATACAAAAAAGAGAGTTGTACCATTACATTAATAAATATATTTGGGTACTATTTTTTTGCTCGCAAGTGTACATGCGCAAATTTTCCCCACTACGTCTCCCAATGTTCATGTTGTTTGCCGTTTGTTTATACAATGAAACGTAAGAATATCGTACATGACCGCACTATACATAACATGTCATTTTGTTAGCACGGTACCTAGTACATTGCAACGTTCGATTTTGCGTAAACTTTCATTTGTGGTGTCATATTATATGACATAGCGTGGTTTTAATACGTAATTTAATCAGCTTCACTGACCTTTTGTCGGCGCGGTGGATTTATTGTACGAAAAGAATACGTGTTCCGTAATTCTATCATTACATTCATATCCTTTTTTTCACTTCAACTGACAAAATTAATGTTTTTGTCTATTATCTAGTTTCATAAACTTTAAAAAAGGCAAATATGTACAAATTTTGCCGTATTAATACGAGGACATACTCGTAGTACGTACACAGACGACATTTTACTTGTGCCAACACGAACACCTGTTGCTAAATTGAAAATTACAAAGTAATAGTGTCATTGCCATGTCTATGGTTAAACGTAAGATTCACACAGAAAGGATGAAAATGTGAAACTGAAAAAACCACATGGCTACAGAACGTTTAATTATTACTAATACATCTATACTAATATAATAAAGCTGAAAAGTTTGTTCAGTTGACCGCGCTAATCACCTGGTTTGGAGGTTTCATCTCCTGTCACGGTGATCACGTCTAGACGTATAAATTATCCGTACCATGACTAAAAAAACTGCGACATGCACTAAATGCCATTTTTACTGAAGTCACAACGAAAAAATTTTTATTTCATGTAATTATCACATTTTTATCACTTTAATAAAAGTTTATAATAAATTTCAAAAAATTGTTATAACTGCAATAACTAGACGTTCAAGTGTTGTTAACAAAACGCATTCGTACGTTTTCTAAACCTGCCATGCATGAAATATAAATTACATAAAACGGTATCTTTACTTTAAATATATATTATTTAATTTTATAAATGAGCTCGCTAGTGTATTTCGCAGTTAAAACAAACATTTCTTTATTATTAATGTTCATTGTACGAATAAGACGAAGCTATATAGGCATAATAATTTTAAATCAATTAATTTAAGGAAAGGTACTAATCATTTTTATTAAAATCGATTAGATTAAACTAACTCATTTGTGACAGCCAGTTGCATAGAGATATAAGCACAGAGTGAATAAGAGCCCCAGCCTTTAATCTTGCAATATAGATAGATGCCTTTATCTCTTTCTAGTCGAGCTCTGTAGTTGGCTGGGGAATATGAGGGGTTAGTAAGTAGCCAATCGATGCTTAGCTAAACAGAGACAGAGAAAACTATCGGGCTCTCTAGTTGCCTGTATCACTTCCACTTACAGGCAGCTGTACCCCGTGTTTTCTCTATGCCTAAATCTCTATGAGCCAGTTGTCATTGGTATCGACCTTAGTATAGTCCATAATTATGCAAACTACGAATTGAAATAACTTTTGAACGCATAATTCAAAAATCTGATAGTGAAAACTATAATTGTCGATGACATTACCAGCTAAATAAATATAACAATAATCTCTACCATGAGATATGGAAGTCGGTACAAAAGTCCCACACATGCCTGCCATTGTCCTTTTAGGGTAAAATTCATCGTAATGAATAAATATGTTTTTCTAATTAATGAAAAAAAACAAAAGAAAATCTTGCAAATTAAAAGTAACATGTCCCCAGACAGTTCCAGTTTTGAATTTCGTAATTGCTGTTACTTTTTTTTTATCAAAACTTCCAGAAAGTTTCTGTATGTCGCAAGTAAATCGCTGATTCTAAGATTCACGAAACTGCCTCTGCCTCTTCGATCAAAGTACATTAATGAGACAATTTCGGACTTACACCGGTGTCTTGAGCACCTGTGTACCAATGTTAAGACATTTACTAACATCGGATATTTGCAGTAACATAGTAAGAGAGTTAGCTAAGTCGTGCTAGTTTAAATAATCTGCTCAAAAACTGTCATCTGGTAGGATTGTCGTATTACTACATTATACTGTTAATAAGTTGATTTGGTATTTATTTTGTTATCATTTTAAACGTAATATTAATTACTTCACTAAAATGAGAGTTGACTTTAGGGCCGATACTTAGTTTGTCGCAATTTCCTCAGCAGAATGCTACACTGCGAAGCGTATCGCTTTACCTTTTGATAAAAATTCCTAGAAATCATCGTTTATCCCCGAATGCGTTTGTAAATTCATAACATTACTCATTAATAAAAACGATGAAGAAAAATATGAAAATGATTACACTAAATTGTATAAAATATGTAACATCCTACTGAATAATCATGACAGTCGAATGACTTGAGGCAAGTCACAAATGGATATAACACTCGCCCGGTGATCTACGGCAGATATACTGTTCCAAGAGTACACAACTATTATGGTGACAGAACTTAACAAAAACGAATGCCTCATATCTTAATAGTCCGCCATTGGACATCAGGGAAGAAAAAGATAAAGTTGTATTTAAGAGGAAATTTAAAAGATTTAGATTAGATTTATTAAAATGAGTTAGCGCTGTATATATCTATAATACTTTTTAAATTATTTAAATTTGACAAAATGTAGGGAGACTCGATCCCTCAGTCATACCATCAACCCGGTTTTGGGGGACAAAGAATGTAATTACATGTACACAAATAAAGTTGAAATTAAATTAATAGAGAACTGTACATAAGTATGAATACTTTGCTATAAAATTTTAAACGAAAAACAAGTTTAATATTTAATAAATATTTCATTATTCCAGGTGAATACAGGTTCAAATGCCCCATGCAAACATGTGAGAAAGCATTTTTAACCTCATACAGTTTGAAGATTCACATTCGCGCGCACACAAAGGCCAAGCCCTTCGCGTGCAATATCAGTGGGTGCAGAAAAGCCTTTAATACATTGTATAGGTAAGTTTCTTAGATGCAATGTGAAATTAAAAAATAAAACATGAATAGTGTTCAATACTTAAAAACTTATTACCTTTTCACCGACTAAAAAAAGAGATTTTTGGTTCGACGCAAAGAAATGCCACAGCCTGAAAACCGGCGTTGAACGGCCTACACCCTTGTAATTCTATAAAGGAGTTGACGGAAGCCACTCGTAGGCCGGCAACGCACTTGCGATTATTGAGTTTCAGGGGTCCTTGAGCGGCGGTAGTCAATTACCATCGGGTGACTCCATTACTTGTTTGCCCTCTACACCATAAAACATCTTAGATTCTCGGAATAAAATATGTGTTTTTTTATAAGTTAAATTGTGCCTAGAAATTAATTCGGAGATCAAAGGAGTACGCATGTGTAATAAATGCAAGGAAATTGATGCAAAATGTATGAAGCTATAAATATATTGAAATGTAAAGTGCGAATAGACGAGTGCAATAAAATTCCATGAGTGTTTCCTGTTGTCATGAATTTTGTTTTCTTCGCCTTTTAGTGTGTAGGTAAAGGCCATAAATATTAAACAATACATAAATAAAAGAATTTTGTATAAACTATCTCGCGTATGTAATAATGATATATATAATATGACTAATGTCGGTGTGGTTTTATTCAGTTTGATTATGACAAGTGTACCTGTGTGACAAGTATACAAGTGTTTTCAGAATACATAATTAAAATTTCGACTTAATTTGTTCAGTCAGTCAATTCTTTGGATTAAATGACTCATTAGTATTAATCATTGGTTTTTCAGTTTCCTAAAAATAATGTCATTTTTTTTTACTATTTTATGTCTATTATTGTCTTATATAAACTTTTATTAATAGTATTTTACTTGTCATATCTATACTAATATTATAAAGCTGAAGAGTTTGTTTGTTTGTTTGTTTGATCGCGCTAATCTCAGGAACTACTGGTCCGATTTGAAAAATTCTTTCAGTGTTAGATAGCCCATTTATCGAGGAAGGCTATAGGCTATATATCATCACGCTAAGACCAATAGGAGCGGAGCACCAATGAAGAATGTTTCAAAAACGGAGAAAATTTATTACTATTGAGAGACGCAGACGAAGTTGCGCGGGTCAGCTAGTATGTATATATATATATATATATATATATATATATATATATATATATATATATATATATATATATATATATATAACACTATACTAATATAGTGTTGTAAAACATTAGAAACTCGAAACAATTAATTTTCGCGGCAAAGTGCCATTCTGCGTCATAAACAAAACTTTCCTAGAGATTTTTTCTGGTTATATCTCGAATAGTAAGTAAATATAATTAATTAGAACCTACCATAAATTTAAATTATTCTCTATGTCGGTCACAGTGCCGAGCATTTGTAGATAAACGTGACTTGATAGAATTGAAAAACGAAAACAACTAGTCAATCCATATTTCTGACTTGTACAGCTATAAATTATTACTTTTCAAACAAGCTTGATGAATCAGAAAGTTAACGTAATTCATGTGTTTGGAACCTTGCCAATATTTCTTACATTAATTTCGCAATACTGTTTTCTTTTACGCGATTATGTTCGTATTTGAATCACAATATAACTGATTACTAACAATTAATTACTTTCTTGCCTAATAAACGATTTATAGGTTGGTCCAAACTTTTATAGGTGATATTACCATAGATGTACATGCATATTACAAGATTTCCCGTGGTCGTTTAATAGACAGATGTGATTACAAGTAAAATCCGTTACTATGTTATGAAGTATGTCGATTAATCAATAAAAAAGTAGTAATATTTGTTTGTATATTTCGCTTTTATCTCACTTTAAAGCAATACACTTTTGGGAAATAGGTCAAAAGTAATAAGATCTGTGTGATGTATGTCCAGCACACCGTTCAAAGGAGATCCTTTGTACGGTGTACCTACCGTAGTGTCTGGACAAATTTTTGAATTAAATTAGATTCTTTCGCTTATAATCACCAATGTAGTCAAGTATAAACAGTTATGTATTTACATCAATCCATTACAATTCGCTTCATTTTAGAGAATCTTCTTGTCATTATTTGGAGTTGATTTGAAAGTTTCGAATAACCGTTTTAAGCTTACACGCCAAGATAGTAGTGACCCATGGTTTCTATCACCTTTTGTTTCTGCCCGAATTACTGACTAGCAGATAATATAGTGGTAAGACATTGGACAGAATCCTAATCTTTTGCCGACATCAGAGAACGATCGCCAACAAACATGGAAAGTTAGGTAGATTCGTTAATAATGCATGAGAGACGTCTTCTCGAAGAAGTTTGTTTCCTTCTGTTCAGGAGCTAAAATTTGTAGTCAGTTGACTATTTCTTTGCGTTTTTTTCAAATAGACATTTGCTGTACATGTTGTGTATGTTTAAGTTTTCCAAAATGTATCTTCAGGTTGCGAGCACATCAACGGTTACACAGTGGTGACACGTTCAACTGTACCACTGGCGGCTGCACAAAGTTCTTCACTACGCTCAGTGATTTGAAGAAACATATACGTACTCATACACAAGAAAGGCCTTATAAGTAAGTTGACCTTGACGATTTAATTTGTCATTTTGTTATGTTTCTGTTTTGAATTTGCACATTTAATAGCTATAATAGAGTTTCAATTATCAATACAAAAAGAAATCAAAATCCTAAGCACTAGCCTTACGTGGTTTCTTTCAAATTAAATATATACATTCAAGTACCTAGTTTATCGACTTCATCTTGACTAAAACGTTAATGTTTGATGATATATTATCGTTGTTGACATAAAAAATGCTTTATTTATCCCGAAAGGGAATGTAGTTTCAAAATATGGTTTTTTCTATTGCAGGTTCCAAACAACCTATAACATTTATATAATCCGCTTTGTTACAAAATTGACATTTTTTATAATTAAAGCGCTAAACTCTACGTCATTTCCGTAGTATACATGGTAAAGTAACCATACTTGGTTTAATATATGCATAAGTGAATTCCATGACGACAAATGCTGTTAATGTCGTGGATCCGAAAAACGTCTGTAAGTTTGCTGTTGCTAAAATCGTGATCAACATAAGATAAAAGCTTCGTAAGGCGGGAGTTCAAAAACATCTGAAATTTTAGCTTTGATGATTTGCTATCCCTGGATGCGTTCCCGACAGGCGACACGTTCTTTTAGTCTGATCGGTGCCTGGTTACTAAAAGCTATTTTTCTGCGATATTAACGAGTGTCGTGGGATTTTGTTTGTGATCAAAACAAAAAGAATAATTATCTCTTTTGTAGTTTCACTGCCAAATAGAAAGTGCTTTGGCATAACGCCAGACGGTTCTTCGTACTAAGGGTAAATACGTACCTATTTTCTACACAATATCTATTGTTCTGATCTAGATTAGGAAAAAAACGGGTTAATGTAATGCTCTCTAGTTGCCAACGAAATATTATTCTTTAAACTATATATAGAAGTCACAGACACTGCAGCTTCTTGAACTAAGATTAATAATTGGTGCAAAAAACAAATAGTATCTAATATTTAAAATTTTATTTAAAATAAAAAAAAGGTTTCGTAATAGTCAATTTACAAGAAATTGTAGACTCTTGGCACACTGTACAGCAAAAGCGGCGTGTCAAAAATTAATTCTTGAGAGACAATCGAGATACGAATAACAGCAATAAAAGTGGAACTTCTTATGCAATACAATAATAATAATATATATTAATATATATATATATATATATATATATATATATATATATATATATATATATATATATATATATATATATATATATATATATTACACAACTCACACACGGCCGTCTGATCCCAAACTAGGCAGAGCCTGTACTATGGCAACCAGACTGCTGATAAACATACTTATATATTTCTAAACACATACATATTATAGATAAATTACACCCAGACACAGAACAAATGACCGTGCTCATCACACAATATTTGTCCTGGGTGGGAATTGAACCCACGACCTCCGGTTTAGCAGTCAGGGTCACTAACCACTAGACCAACAGGCCCGTCTAGAATAGTTAGAATAGGTAGAATAGTTTAGAAACTTAGAATATCTAGATTGTTGTATTAATTTTTAAGCAAAAATAAACTGGTCTTGATAAAAACCATATCACACAAAAAGAAAGAAATGATGTAAGTTAAATAAATACTAAAACATTGGTTTTGAATAAACATCAACTTTTTTTTTCACAGATGTCGAACGGAAGGCTGCGGAAAATCCTTCACAGCGTCACATCACCTGAAAGCTCACGGTCGCACGCACTCTGGCGCTCGGCCTCACGCCTGCACGGCGCCGGGCTGTAACCGACTGTTCTCCACGGTTACCAGTCTCAAGGCGCATGCTATGAAACATCAGGTATATACTTTTGACGTGACAACTTCAAGAAACTGCGTTACGCTCCGCTCACGTTATGCGCTCACAATGAGAGCGAGTGAGAGGCACGCGTCCCTTCCAATCGGGCATGGTTAGCCCGCCTAAGAGCGAGAGAGACAGACATAGTCGTTGTCACGTAAAACTTTCGCCCGTATACCGACTTTACAGGCAACCAATTTTTTTTTTGTATTCAATATACTTTTTTCATCCAATAAACACTATTTCAATAATAAAGACAATGACGAAAATACCGTTATTTTCTTCTAAGAAGGCATGCCCATGTTGGTGTGTCTTGATTCAACAACATAAAATCATTCTATTTATGCAGATTTTTACTTATTATTGCAAATATTAAAAAAAAAGGATATTATTTATTCAAATAGTAGTTAATCAATAGTTTTATGCTTAAAATATGTGCAATATTTTAAGCATAAAACTACGTAAATAATAGATATAGTCATATAAATGAAATAACAGCAAACGATGAACTAGTGCTTGTTGCACAGTTGTCACACACAACTATTTTTGTCTGAAAATACGATCAATTTTCATGTTTTCGGATGTCATTGTAAGTTTCTTAGTAACTAAAAATTATTTCTTACACTTTTTATAGATTGAAGCTGAACCTGTGACAGAAAAAGTCGCGGAAACCGCGGAGACAGTCCAAACCGAACCATCAGCGTCCCAATCAATGACCAAAGTCAGCGACTTCATGAACTGGGACAGCCTCCTCGAATCCTTCGGCAGAATCACCACAGAATCCAATTCCACTGATGGCAGTTTAGAAGATATCACTCAAGTCAATACTGTGGATATAGCCGAACTATTGTTTCCAGATAACACTAACAACATTAAAAACATTGAATCTAATGATCTAACAGTAAACTACGATCTCGCTTCCCTAACTCTGTCGCCTTTTGACAAAATGGACAAGAAAAGTCCATCAGCTGATTCTTGGGTGGACATCAATGAATTACAAGCCACAATGCCCTTGCAAGTACCTCCAATGGATGTTGTTCCTAAATTAGAAGTAAAATCGAAAGCTATGCAACTCGCTTTGGCTAACGAAATCGAAGACCAAGCGCCGTGGGTCGATGTTAGTGCTCTGGCGGCTTCGATATCAGAAACCCCAGTGTGCATTGAAGAGAAAACTCCGGAGAGTATATTTACAATGGCAACCTTCGTGCCAACTCACATGCAAAGTTACATAGACTTGAATACAGAAGTTGCACCAACGGCCAATCTCATTACTCATGATTCCTTCAATTTAGACACACCCAATGTCTTAGACGTTGGCGATAAAGTTTTCAATGACAGCGAAATAGTCACAAACCTCGAGGTCACAAAACTGTATAATAACGATTACAGCATATTTTTAGGATCGGAAGAAGATAGATCATTAAATACTCCACCACCTTCAAAAGTTCAGCACAACATCGAAATTAATCCAGCTAATTCTGTACTCTTCAATACAGATTTACATTTGCAAGACACAATACTGTTCGACAATGAACCTGCATCTGACATGTACGTAGTGAGAACGGAGAATATTTTCGGCAAGAAAAGTGCTTTGGAGCAGTTAACTGCCGATGCTGGTATATGCTCTTGTACGAACTGTAAATGCGATCCGTTAGCTGGAGAATGCAGGAGTTGCGGTCAACAAGAGGTTCCTGCGCCAGAGGGCTGCTGCAAAGAAGATTCGTGCTCATGTGTCGATTGTAAATGTGACCATGCGGCCATGAAATGCGTAGCAGGGTGTGGTCAAGCGACTGATACCAACCACAACACATTCTTGCATTATCATAAGAGACATCACAACTCCAGTTTGGAAGAATTGGGCATATACACGACACAATGTGATGAAGACGTGCTATCTGGTGGGATGCACCATTTAAGTTGTTCATGCAGTTCAAAACCATCTCAAGGCTGTGATCAATCTAGTGGTAACAAAACATCGCGTAACGATGTGAATAATTGTGGTTCGGATAAAAAGTTGCCAGAAGAGAAAATACCCTCTTGTAGCAGCAAAAAATCTGACAATGAAAAGCGTTGCACTGAAGCTTGCTGCATCACAATATGCTTCAAGAAAATTAATGCTCTTAAACAATTTTTGTCTAACAATGAAATAATTCAAGCATTGAAATTGCATAACCTTGACGTAACAAGCTAATATTGGTAACTTCGTAAATTGTCGCATTTAACTACGTACAATAGCATTGAGTTTCTTGCATTACCATCCTTAGCCTATAGATTGTCTTTCGTGATATTTTGTCAATGTTTTTATAAAATAGTTATGCTTAGTGTTTAGCAATGCAATATCTAAACGTTGACAATTACTGATCAGAACTAGGCCAATTGACCTAGTATCTATGTAACATTTCACTACTAACATCACTGGTGATGTGTATTTAATTTACAGATGCAGTAGTTTTAGTTAGAAATGTTTTATACCTAAATAACTTGTGCAATAATAATATCTCAAATATTTACTTTTATTTATTGTTATTGATGTTGTAGAATATTTTTATGTGTATACTTTCAAGAGTTATTTAATTTTATTGGTATTACATATTGTGTAGTGACGAACAGAGATACTAAAATAAATACTATAATAATCTTTGTTGTATAGTTACAACAAAGATTATTATAGTATTTATATTCAAGATTTATGATGTTTTGTCTCCACTGAATTTCTATTAGTCTATTATAAAAACGTTCACTTCAATTTGGTTACCTATTCTTGGTAAATATAATTGAAAAAAGTACATTATTTACATGTTTCTGCTACAGTATGTATTTGATTTTTTTTAAATACTGATTGCCACCTCAAAATGTTGCCATATCAAAAAAAAAACTTTGTATGCACTTCAAGGTCTATTATATACAAAGCCTATTTCAGCTGCCACACATGTTTACCTGTATTCCTTAGTATAGATAACCTGTTTAACAGCCTAATTCTTATAGCTGGCAGTAAGCACATAAGAATGGAAATTATAACGAATCTGTTAGTTTTTTATGTAAGAAACGTAAATGTTGGTGCTATTTATATTTTAAGTAAACCAGTGCCTTTAATGTTGTACTTATATAATGCTTAAATTGTACAAATGTTGAATAATTTTATATGAGATTTTTATTCATTAGTTTTAATGAAATCAATAATATTAATGCCATAAGTTTTCTAGTCCACATAACAAATAAAATGCTTTATAATAATTTAGTTGTTTTATTCCATTTAAACATTGAGATCGAAGTTTTACTAATAGAAAATATTACTATTATTATTATTCTGAATATAAAGTTATAAAAAGTGATTACATAATTAATAAACACAGTAGTTAAAAAATCTTCTGGATTTTAGTTGAACTTGAGGACTTCTTTGTTCATATCAATAATAAATAGTATGTGTCGCTTCAGGGGCACACACTCATGGATCAATTAAAATGTAAACATAAACTAAACTATGCAAATCACACATGTAATGATAAATATCAATTAATACATTGCTGCTTATTTACGAAGGCATAATATGAGAATCATAATATTTCCCCAGGTACTTTGATAAAACAATTAAATACAGCCATGAAACTATTTGTCCTAACATAATGCTCAGCAAAATTAATTTCGAATATTTATCAACTGATTGAGGAAGTAAAATTCGGGTTTTATAGTCTATCACAGACAGTGTCAAAATTTATCACAATATACTTATATAAAATAAAACGGTTTTAGAATTACTTGTGAGTTACAAATTGTTTAGATTTAGATTATAGTAGGAGCAATAAAAAGAGCAAATTATATCTTGAAATAGGGTCTTTCTTACTGACTGTATATCTACTGTCAACAGTGGCGAGATATTGAAGTTTTTAATAATGATTAATATTAAATGTTCATCAAATTTCTTGCTATTTTTCTTATATAAAATGTAAAATGACCTATACTAGATACAACCAAAAAATTGCCAAAAAATTATTAATAATAAGATACAAAAAAAAGTAAAAAAGTGCACTACTACACCATATGGTATACATATTGAAATTTGAAAAGGGAATGAAGAATCAGTGTTCTAAATTCCTAGCAAAAACAGAACAGCAAAGACTCATATCTTAACATTACACTCTGTCATACTTATACCAGTCTAAATATTCACCAACTTTCCCATTCATTAACTACATAAAAAGGTTTTGAGAGAAAAATGGATTTAAAAATACATTTTAGTCAGTACAAGTCAAAATATGTTTTCAAATATAGAGTAATGGCTTTATTCTGGGGCAACCACTAGTTGAAGCAAGAATAAATCTCGTTTTCTGTTTTCTTATAAAAGTAATATATTATAACTACCTTAAGAAATCTATTTCTTGAGAATCAGTACTAGTTTCCCTGATATTTTACTATATTTGTAAAATTTGTCAAATTTTTCATAAGAAAGAGGAGAAACCATAGAAATTATTGGATCCAAAATAGCTAAAATCATACTTATGTGATTCATGAATAGTGCCTAAGAATATAATAATATTATACCTGTAATACATACTTATGTATAAAATACACTGAATAGGTATTATTAGAAGCAGTATAATTTTTTATCTAACGCCTCTTCTTTTTGTCATGTCGCCGAGCACGAGACATAGTTGCCCTGTGGCCCGGTGATGATTGTTCAGAGCTGCATTCATCACTGTCAGTATATGCCTGAAAATACAAACTTCTTATCAGTCTAATTGCCAGAGTCAGAACTGGAATGATCACTAAATTTTGTGTAAAATAATGTGTACAGTTATGTGTTCTTGTGCTCCTACCAGTAGGAGATCATAGTAGGAGTTGAAGGAAGCACCCATTTTCTTGACCTTAATATAAAAATATGTACAATTTATTTGTAATTTAATAATTACCTAATTATAATAAGCTCCTAGATGCCAAAACACTATATTAAAATTAACATCAACTTATTTACAAGTAAAGCAAGTAAAAGGGAGATAAATAATTTAGCTTGGAAGCTTCCACCAAGTAGATACATGTTTAATTGATTTATAGACACTAGACTGAATTTATAATTACACTGCAGTGGAATACCAACTCTAGGCAACCATGAGTTTGTTTGCCCTTTCTTCTTATAAGGCTCAACACCTTGGAAATGGGCGATTGTAGATCGGCACAGGCATGTCATAGATTTTGTTTGGGTTTGATTTTTGTTAAATTCATTTGCTTACTATTTGTTTGTACAGAGATTGTTGCTTTTGTATGTGTTGTTCTATGACTTTAGAGTCTACATAAAAGACGATTTCAAACAATTTAAAAAATGTATGAAGTAGAGAGTTTGAGTTTAGGGAGCTAGACCCTAATTTTATGATAACGTCTCACTAATCATAAAACTAGGTAGACTTACTTATAAGTTATTAGTAAGTTACTTATAAGTTAATAGTAAGCCTAAGTGCTTGGTGCCAAAATGTACCAAAAACTATCACATTATTTGTCTGATTTCGTTAAAGTCTAAGTTGATTTACAAATTAGAATTGGTCAATATTATTTTACATTTGATATGCAGTACTTAATATAAAATTATATCTATAGATTAAAAATGAAAATGGAATACAAAAAAGTTTCGTTAAATTAGGTGTACCTTTTCGTAAGGGTGAGATTCACTTTGCTCATCGGTTAAAGTAACACAAGCTAGCAAACAGACCAGCTGGAAAGCTGCTCCAATATATAGTCCATACCGAATTACTGTACTCATCAAATCTTCGGCAAAAATCTCACCAGGTATCATTTTGATAGAGCGGAACCACTGCCTTTTACCCCGAATTTTAGCTACAATGACACAAATTTGAAAATAGTGTAATATATAAAGCGATGTTTAATTAATGTTTGATGACTAATTGTAAAAATTAAAAAATAATGTTTAAAAAACAAACGAATCAATACGAGTTATGTTGTTAATCTTATTCTTTTTTTAATTTTGACGTCGCAGTCACCAGTGCTGCCAGGTCTTGAAATCGCTTCCCCCGTTTTATTGCCTTTTATTTATTGTTCAGAAGATGCTGAATTTCCTTTTTTAGAGTAACTTATGTTTAAAAAGAAAAATAATCAAATAATGGGTTCTTCAAAACTTATGGCCTGCCTCTTTTTAATTTGTTATTTAGAAAGTAATAATTTTAAACTACGCGAGCCATTAAAAAAAAGAATCATCTGCCTGCCTTTACTTTAAAGGAAAGAACGAAAGACACAAATTACAAGAAAAAATTGGTAGACTTTTACCGTCATTTCGGTTTTTACTTTCTGAAATTCTTATTTTCTTATGGAAACATTCGGCTTTTTTAAAACTGCCTCGTTATAATAGTATCCGAGGTAAATGAACAGACGAGTCACAGGATGGTAAATTACTACCTTTGTCAATTTACACGTCATCATTCAACTACTCTTGCATACAAAAAAAGATAAGAAACCAATAAAATTACGGTATAATAATTGGAAATTTAATTTACTCGGCGCAAGCGTTTTAATAACCAACGGGAACGAATTACGTAGTCGCGAAATTCATAAAATAACTTCGACAATCGCACTTCATTATTATTGTAGTACCAAAATGCGATAACTGAGTATCCGTTATAACAAGTACGAGTAGTAGTAACACTACTTATAAATGGCTAATTTAAATTAACACCATGAGGCTCTATATTGTTTGTAAGTAATATTATAGATTGGGTACTTGCTTTTTTAGTTTTCAATTCTAAAGGACACCACATATTAGTGAAGTGCTTTGCCAATTGGCGTTTATTGTACCTGAGTAAATAATGTATTTAAGAAACACTTTCTTTAATCTGCAATTACAATCCTAAGGGCTTTTAACAGTAATTGCTTTTAGGAATAAATGTAACCGATTTGTGAAGTTCCAGGGAAAAAAGTCCACAATTTAACTTTACAAGGTAGTTGAAGTAGTATTAGCTTCAAAAGATAACCTAAACTTTTAGTGAGCGCTATAAGCTACAAATTAAATCTTAATACTTGTTTTTAAATTTGAAAGTATCGTGTGAATCCGTTTTTAACCGACTTCAAAAATGGAGGAGGTTTTCAATTCGTCGAAATCTTTTTTTTTAAGTACCGAGTCAGTTTGTTAGGTAAAAAGATATCAAAACAGGTAGTAGTAAAAACTAGTTGGGCTGAAACTACCTTAGGTTAGAGATCTTTATTTCTCTTAAACCACATGCAGTCCTCTTATAATGACATAGGTTACGATCTATTTATATGCAATTTTAAGTTGCTTTGTGTATGCTTCAAAAACTCTAAAAGGTCTCCACTGATTGAACTCAAATTTTGAACCGATTTACAACCCACTTCAAAGTATTTTTTTTTTAAAGACCGCTCTAGGAAGAAATCCTGTGTCGTCACACATCAACATCCTGATACGGACACAAAGAACACCCAGACTCAGAATGACAATTTGTGAATCACACAAAGTGTGTGTGTGTGTGATCCAACCCACAACACTCAGCGTAGTGGGAAGCGGCGTGGCGACCGCTTGACACCATCCGTGCAGTCAGATTGTAATTGATTGTCTTTGATGTGATTTGAATAATTTATTTATAGGCTTTATCGTGAACTTAGTAGCATGTAGAAATAACACTGATGAGACGTCAAAAGTCAGGAGCGCTGAAGTGCCAGACGATGTATTCGATGTTGAGACAAAATTAAATTTAAAGGGAAACGTCAGGAAATTATTCGCTGTGGTATGTGTATAATATATGCAATAACACGTTTAAAGCTATTTTTGTGTATGTTGAATTTAAACTCGATTTTTTTTAATGATTGCTTATTCGATACATGTCAATATCTTATCTTGGGTCCCTATTTCATGTACGGTCAGTATCGGACCAAATAGAATAAACCCATACGGCTTTCCATCAGCAGGTCCTATTGCCGGGGTCACGGATTTACCCTAGAAAGGAAATGCCTGTTGACTCCGACAGACTTGCTTCTTTGTCAGACTTCGAGTGCGATGATTCTTGCTTTCGATTGAGAAAGGTGACTTGGTTATATTAGGCCGACGTACCCGTTGCCCTAATAAAATGGTTATCACCATCGAGCAGTCGCCAATGAGTCTAGTTATCGTGCAGTCTCCGACATCTGTTTCTACAGGATGGGAGAAAACTAGTTATCCCCTCTTGTTGTTGACTGTTAGTTTGGTAATTTTAATTTACTTTTATTTGAAATACTATTTGTAGGAATTAGGATTAAATTCTGAAGGGCAAAATATGATATGTTCGCCAATATCAGCCATGATGCCATTGGCCAAATTATTGCTTGGAGCCGAAAAACGCTCTGAATCAAAAGCTGAACTGTTGGCTGCTTTGGGATTGAGAAATTCGAAGGAGGTAAATTTTTGAAATATAAAGATAATGATAACATAATGAATAGATAATTCCCAACTGATTTGTTCTTGATCTGTTCTATTTCTGGTTACAAGAATAACTGTTTTCGGAGTGTAATATCTCCTTACAAGCATTTATACAGTATTAATCTAACAGTAAAGGTATTTTTTTTTCACTATATATGCGCTAATTTCTGTAAGTACTAATCGAATATGACTTTTTTTTTGTGATAGCTCTTTTCTTTTAATAAATGACTTAACTTGACGCCCTTATACCCTTTAGAAGCAGATCGGTGAATATAAACACTTGCAAAACTGTTAGGTACGACCGGCTTATTACGTATATACTTAGATCCAATACCAATAGTAGCATACCAGCAAATATTAATAAGACTTAAACGTGTACAATATCCAAACACGCTTTATTGTACTAAATAGAAGCCCATCATCATATGGTTATAAAGTTTCATGAGAAACTGTCATCATCATCATCAACAGCCTGCAACAGTCCACTGCTGTACATAGGCCTCTCTTTAGAAAGAAGGTTTTGGGCCTACTATACCACTGGCCAGACAGGTTGGTACAGGGTTTGTTTCAAGTTTTCCTTCTCTTTGCAGTGCTCAGTGCTGTTGTCCTGCATAATTTGCTCCCGTAGTCGGCTCTTACGTCACCCATAGGATAAGTACAGGTGGTGACACTCCGTAATCCGTCACCACACGGAAATGAGAAACTGTACCAGAACACAAAGATATCATCCCAAGGAAACTACATTTTCTTATACGAATACGGTTTTATTACTAATCCACAATAAGTAATGACTTTTTGAAGAAGCTGGAATAACGGGTAGAATTTAACAGCTGTTCTTGGTCAAATTAGAAAAAAGGGAGTATCACTAACTCAAACAATAAATGCTAGTTGAGCCCCCTAAGTAATCTCACTTATATATGTGTTTTGCCAACATCGGTAAAGACCTCATAACTAGCTACTCGTAACTATTAAGACCTAGAGTTTGGAACATATCTCATTCCGAAAAACATATGTTTTTTTTATTGTTCACGAATGCAACGGAGGACATGTTCAAGATGCTACACTAAAAAGGGCGTGGCATCAATATCGATGGCGAATACATCTCTCACTTGAGATTCGCAGACGACATCGTCATCATAGCAGAGGCGCTGCGGGACCTACGACAGATGCTGAATGACCTGGCTGAGTCAAAAATATGTGTACCTCGGGCAGACATTGCAGTTAGGTAGAAACAACTTTGAGGACGAGTTGAATAGAAGAATGCAGTTTATGTTGGGCAGCGTTTGGGGAGCTACGTCGTGTCCTCTTATCGTCGATCCTGCAGTGCCTAAAGACGAAAGTCTTCAATCAGTCGTCGTACCCACCATGACATACGGAGCCGAAACGTGGACACTTACGGTACGGCTGGTTCACAAGCCTAAAGTCGCCCAGCGTGCTATGGAAAGAGGTATGCTCGGTGTTTCTCTAAGGGATCGAATCAGGAATGAGGTCATCCCTTACCATCCGGAATGGCCGTCATTGGCCGTCACCCCAGGCCACAATCGGCGCAGGATGGCTGGCAGGAGCTGGATGCGAGAAACCGAAAATCGATCTAAGTGGCGTGCAATGCGAAAGGCCTAGATGGTGTTGATGATGAAAAAAATTAGTAAAATTTACTTTGAACGTATTTCAATAAAATAGGTAAATTCTTCTAGGGTTCAATATGTAGGTATTTTTTAAAATACTTAACATATTTTAGAAGAGATTCAGTAACGTATTATACACTTACAATTTTTTTTTTAAGTCTATACCAAGATTTAAGAGTTTAGATATTAGATGAAGGTTCCCTACTACAGTTAAAGTAATTGCTTCGCAGATTAGCCGTAAATACAAGCAGATACTCAACGAACTTGAATACCTAGACGGTGTGCAGATAATCCTCGCTAGTAGAACGTATCTATCCGATAAATATCAACTTCAAGAGAAATTTAAAAACAAAAGCATAAGTATTTTCAAATCTGCGGTTGAATTAGTAGATACAAGTCGCTCAGAAGAAGTTGCTGATAGAATTAATCAATGGGTAAAATTTTATTATTGTAGTATTGTATATTATTATAGGCAAAAATCTGAATTTCTCAATTCTAGCTAAAAAAAATTCACAAATCTTCTTTCAAGAGATAAACACATAATTATTTTTAATTGCTTGTATATTTGTGGATTTCAGGTAGCTGATCATACAAATGATAAGATTAAAAATTTGATTTCTGAAAACGACATCGCTGAGAGCGCTTCCCTTCTTTTGGTGAACGCTATATATTTCAAAGTAAGTTTAAAAGGTACGAGTATATTTTAATGCGGATAACATAGGGATATGTTTGAAAGATCTAATTAAAAGTGTAGATTTACTTATTGCTTTATTATTTTCCAAATAAATAGTTCTATAACACTGTTCTATAAAAAATTTGGAATAAAACTTAAAATGATAACAGTATCGTGGATTATTTTTGATTAAAAAGATGCATGTGTTGTGCATCAGCCTTAATTTATACTATAATATAAGTCTTTACAGTGCAGTAACTTTGCTATTTTAATGGTTTTCCTTTCGAGGGTACTTGGCGAGAACAATTTACTCGAGCCCGAGAAAATTTATTTAATTCACCCAACGGCACCATAAGAGTGCCCATGATGAGAACAAGTGGAAAATATAATTATATTAAAAGCGATGAATTAAATGCAGAGGTATGTTTTTTTTTTGCATTATTATCTTTTCAAATTTATCTTTTAAACCTAAGCATCAGGTCCTTAAGATTGAGTGACTATTTATATTAGATTTTACTGTGTTAGAGCCATGCTTTGTCACATATGGGGCGACTCGACCGCAGTGATGGCAGGACTCCGGAGTAAACCGGTGTTTACTCCGGAGTCCTGCCATCCAAGCAGGTAATCATCCAAGTAATTTTTTGGTTATTTTTCCCCCAAACCCTCTTCCCTTGTATTGTTACACCGTTGTACTGGGTGCTGCCGCTTGAGTATACTCGTAGTAGACGCATTTTAGACGAGGCTGTTGAATTGCCCGCGTCTTTGGGCGAAGTTAGTCATTTACACAGTTAGTGACCCATGAGTGAATTTTCCACATGAACTAAACCATAATAATATCAATATTAAAAACGATTACGATTCACCAGTTCCATTCAGTCACCACCCCTATTCATCCCGTGGGTGTCGTAAGAGCTGACTAAGGAAGCAAAATATGCAGGACAACAGCACTGCAAAGAGAAGGAAAACTTGAAACAAACCCTGTACCAACCCATCTGGCCAGCCTGGTATAGTAGGCCAAAACCTGCTCTCTAAGAAGAGGCCTATGTCCAGCTGTGGGATTTTAAAGGCTGTTGATGAAACGGTTGCTTTTAAAGAACAATCAAATATATACAAGAAAATTATCACTAAGAACTCCTCAACAAATATCCATGAATGATATACATTGTTTCCCCTTTTTAGGTACTAAAATGTTAATAGAAAGTCATTAAAAAATGACGCTTGTCAGTGTTATTTTAGTGTTAAATGCAGTTTGACACTCTTTACTTGGGGATGTGTGTCCTTAAAAAAGTAAAAGAGATTAGAGATCTTTTTCCGCTGCAGAAACAAATATTATGCCTTTATGCACAATATGTACAGTAGTGGACTTTATACTAAACATATTCTCTATCAGTCTACGTTTAGGTAGATCTATTTCCAGGTTTCAATTCAGAATTTACTAGTATTTCATCAGTATCAATTATTAACTAACATTTGACATACATTTTTAGATTTTAGAACTGCCATACAGAGGCGAGGAAGCCGCTATGATTATAGTCCTGCCAAATGACAAAAACGGTTTGCCAATATTGTTACGAACTTTAAGACTATCTCAAGACCTACTGACTAAGGCACTACAAGAAATGGTCACTGTAACTGTGGATGTTATAATACCTAAGTTCAGGATAGACACGGCTTTAGATCTCAAGAGCTATTATGAAAAGGCAAGTGTACGATTTAAGAATAATAAAGAAATCGTTTTTGAGTGTGAAGTTAGTGATGAAAAGCTGATAGTAAAGCCCTTAAGCCTAAGGTACCTTATTAAGGCCATCTATTACTATATTGACAATAGATTTAATGACGATTATGGTTTTAATTATGTAAATTATAAGCCAACCAAATCATACCCATGCGTTAAGAGAAACTGAACCTGACGCTTGCTGTCGGCAGCAAGCGTCAGCTTTAATTTATCTTAAAAAAAGGCAAGTTATAAACTTAAAAAAAATTAATACTGAAGTTTTATGGCTTTTTTGCCAACCATTATAAATGCAAACGAACCAGAAGTGAAAACTTGAGTGGACCTACTATCAGATTAAAATAGAACAAACTAATTGGATCATAGAAAGTTAATATCCAAATCATTTCAGATGGCAATCAATAGTTCTTTACGCTTTGAACGGTCTGGTCTCACGAAAATAGTCAAACATCACACAGTATATATTTCAAGTGCAACACAAAGAGCAATTGTTGAAGTCACTGAGAAAGGGACAGTAGCAACCGCAGCTAGTGGTAAACATTATTCTTATTTACAATGTACAAGAATCTGCGTTCTCTCTTAAGCTTAGGTTTAAAGCTAAAAATAAAACTACCATGACATAGGACATTTGAGTAATAAAATTACTGGGATGGGCAACTGACAAAAATATCAAATATAATTCAAGGAAAGGAGTGCTCCTACTTTATTAAATCTAGGGCATAAAAGTTTGATTTTCCTCTATACCCTTTGCATTTTACGAAGAGTTATTACTTATAAATTTATATCACACATTTCAACAAAAGTGATGATAAAATACGATTAGAAAGGGAAACCACTATGGCCTCCATCATGTCAAAAAATACGTCATACTTACGATTTTTGAAAGGAAAAAGGCACTTTGCTGAAAGATTCAATATTTCCTAGAACTTGATGAGGCGATAGGAAGTTTTGGCATAAAGTCACCAGTCAAGACAAGTGTTCCTGAATATGATTGTTTTAATACCAACGAAAAGCAAAGATAATACGTAATAAAGAAAATACATTTTCTGTAATTACTTATTGGCTCTGGTTGCATTCTCTTTAGGGTGTCAGACAGTTCAGTTCTACACATCATGTTTTTTTTTTAATAAGACAAGACAATATTAACTGATGTAAAAATATAGGTAACGATTCGTTGCAGTAATTATTGGGTTCGGATCCCCAATGCCATCTTCAAATAAAATAGAGTTCAACGCAGAACATCCCTTCTTGTTCTACATCAGAGGTCATCATGAACAACTATTTGCAGGCGTCGTTATATCACCATAGTGTGCGTGTGTCACGCACACACTCTCTATTGGATATTGAATAGATTCATTATCCATAGAGTAACAATAAACATCAGTAAAATTGGCATGTAGTTTTAATCATAATACGAAATCCAATACTTCACTTTGAACGTAGATAAGTCGACTGAAATATCATAATAATATAGACATCGGGATCACCACAATGCAGACAGGCAATTATGATAAACTAAGATGAGTTCTCATACACACTTATATTCAAAAATTAAACTAGAAAAATAAGGTTGAATTTGGTCATTCTTATTTAACCGATCACCATAAAGAGGGAACCCCCTGAAGGATAGCTTTTACTTTTTTTTTAATATAAAGGACAACGCCCGCATTAGGAATATAATCCTGTGTCGCGGGGGACTTTACAAACATACATGAAACGGACACAAAGAACACCCGGACTCAGAACAACAATTTGTGGATCACACAAAGTGTCGTCCCATGTGGGGTTTGAACCCACAACACTCGGTGTAGTAGGAAGCGGCGTGGCGACCACTTAAACCACTACGCCCTCCGTGAAGTTAGATTATAATTGACTGTCTTTGACGTGATTTGAATAATTTATTTATAGGTTTTATCGTGAACTTAGTAGCATTTAGAAATAACACTGATGAGACGACAGAAGTCAGTAGCGCTGAAGTAGATTAAATGTTTTGCTAACTCAACTTACGTACAATAATGTAGCTCATACACAATTGTTGTAAAGAATTTTGAGACAATAAACTTTATTATTATTTTATTAGTTTCTCACCTAAAGTCTTATGTAACTTTTTAATGAAATGGACTTTTAATATTTACAGTAATTCAAATAGAGCCGAAACATGCGCTTCGAGAAAGATTTAAAGCCAATCGGCCGTTTTTATTCTACATAAGATTAATACAAGAGCAGGTCTTCGCTGGCGTCGTAAATCAACCATAATTATTTTCGAATTTGAATTAAATAAATAATATTTTTATGTATCCTATGCCATATATTATTAACTTACACTTTTATAAATTGAGATTAAATCTAACTTAGTAATAGTTCCTTTTCTGGATTAACCCTGTCATTATGTATGTAGAAAAACAAAGCAAGGAGAAAATTGCCTGTTAGAAAATAGACATTTTGACTTTTGACATTCACAAAAGTTTCAAATTAAGTTATGTTTAAAAAGTTGTCGTAATATGTCAGGACCACTTTCACAAATTTAATACAAACCTTTTACGTTTCTTACAGAAATTGCAATGGTGCCATTATCACTCAAATTAAATCGTATAGTATTCAAAGCTGACTGCCCTTTCCTGTTCTACATCAGCACTAAACATGAGCCGCTATTTGCGGGTGTATTCAATTCACTTTAGTTGTTTCCACTTCCAAAAAATAAAGATGCAATTCACAATTTGACATGATTTTTTAATTTTAAACTATATTTTTTTGTATAGTAATCTTTTTTGGGTTATTTCATTATTTCAAGGACAAGGTAAGCGTGTAACGTAGTTTAATGAACAATCCGAAATTTATAAATATAAATGGACCTATGTATGGAACTAACATTATGGTGGCAAAAAAGGGTGTATCATACTTCTCTGCCCACTACTATCTGATATCTATAGGCATGAGTGTAGGTTAATACCTACACTCATGCCTATAGATATCGGTGATATAGAATACTAATGTATTGTAGATTAATAATTATATGTAACAACCCGTACCTACAATGATTGAATATATAAAACATATTTAAAAAGTCACGTATCAATTTGTATAGAGATCATCGTCAGTGATTTGTGTGTATTCTGAGCTCGAAATATTTACTAGTAACAAAATGGTTAAGGAAGGTGGATTTAGTCCAGAACGCCTGAATTTACATCTGTGGTAAAGCAATTTTCAAAGGTACCGATAACTGCTTATCACGAGCCACATTTTAATCTGCAAGCGTGTTGTTTAAAAAAAATGCAAGTATTTTATTATGACACTTTATGTGTTTATCAGATCATGCCTTATTAAAACTACTAGCTACAAATATAACACTAAGACATTTATTTTGATCCAGAGTTCAATAAAGGTTAATAGGTGTCGTCTATCCGAAAGATCTATATCCGAAGAGTTGCTCATGACCGGCTCTGATGTAGTACAAGAAAGGTTCGTTAACTGTGAACTCTATCAGTTCCATATCCGCGATCAATTCAAATACTGCATTATATTTCTATGTTACTTAAAAGTGGATAAATAGATTTTTGTGACTATCAAAATTTGTCATATTTATATGTTAATTTCTCGTAACTGTTGAATATGGTGTACTAAAATAATCGGTTGGTCGATGGTAAGGTGTATAAAAATGACATTTCAGTAGGCTTCATATAAGATCCGGCAACTTTATTAAGTAGGACTTTTTGCTGTGAGCTCAAGAACTGGCACACCCATTCTCTTATGCCAAGATTTTTTTCAAATAGGCAGACTTTTTAATGTTTGTTTTTTTTCAACAGTTTACCTTTTTTTTATTAAAACGACATGATACTGTGAAGACTTTATTAACCATAAAATTCTGAAGGCGTGATTACGATGCCACTAAATAACTGCTCGTGCATAGCTCTGATGTAAAATAAAAAGGGATGATCAGCAACAAATCGGGGACGCTGGACCGCATGACCAGCCAACACTTGATGAGTTGCTGTAATACATTTTAGAACATTAATTTATGTAAGTTTTAATATTACTCACATTTAAACAAACCCTGTACTAGGTTTCGCCCGCGGATCCGCACTCGTGTATGTGGGTTATCGAGGTAAGCGGTAAGTAAAAGTAGCCTACGAGTATGTTACTCGCTGATAATGTAGCTTTCCATTTGTGAAAGACTTTTTTAAATTGGTTTAGTTGCATAAGCGTGAAAGCGTAACAAACTCACTTTTACATTTATAAGTATGGAAGTATGGATATACATAATTAGGTTATTAATACAAACATTAGGTATTAGAAGCTGTCAGTTAGGTTACCGATGGGGTTCTATTGTTGGGTTGTTTATTGAAAATATTTTAATAAAATCGGTTTACGGTTAGTCAATTTTACATATATGTAATATTATGTTTTAATACAGTTATTAAGTAGATAGAATCGTCTTTCCACAATAAATGTTACATAAGAAAATGTGTTCACTTGCTGTTCACCCGAAAGATCTATTTCATTTCAGTAGTTATTAATTTTGTCTGACATTATCGATTCTTAGCGGCTATTATGTAATACTATTTCTAAGAATGATATTTTTTAACGCTTTTACAAGCTTACCTATTGCTTAAAGTTTAAAAAATTAATAAAAAAGTAAGAAAGAAATATTTAAAATAAGATGTAAACCTAACACATTGATGCCTAAATTGATTCTCTTAAAATATGTATCGTTTTAACATTCTTTAGGTTAGCTAAACACGTAATATATGAAAATCAATAAAAAACGCGCTAAAATTGTTTAGTAAATTGAGTGCACCCACTTCATGTTGTGACCTATAAGTGCACTTTAATCAAGTTGGAACAGCAAACCGTAGACAACTAGGAGAATAAAAATCAAGTCAATATAAGCATCACCACCATCGCCAATTGGTCTTTTAATTGCTCCAAAAGTAATAATCGATTTTTTTTATAATTTAACAAAAACCATGCTTACCAGTAGCTGCCGCTGCCACCGTTCCTGTCTCAGTTACTTCTATAATTGCTTTTTGCACTGCGTCTGAGATATGTACTGTATGATGTTTGACTACTTTTTTGAGTCCTGACTGTTCCTGAACCAAAGAATATTTGACTCCCATCTGAAATTAATTTAATGAATGGGTTTGATTACTTTTTATTCTGAAATAATTTTCTTATTCTGAACAAGTGTTTTTACCTTTTTGTAATATTTTTTAAGGTTAATGGTTGTTTCTATCTTGAACTTAGGTATTGCTACGTCGACATGTGCCGTTTTCATTTTCATTAATGCGATATTCAATAGTTCGTAAGACATCTTCAAGGTTCGTAACAATATTGGTAAACCGTTCTTTTCATTTGGCAGTACTATGATCATAGCTGATTGCTCGCCTTGGTATGGTAATTCTATAATCTAGAAATATGATAAAGGTTGTGAAATCAAATTACATAACTCTGCGTTTGATGAGAAGTTGGTTGTGCGTTTTATTGTAAACTAGAGGCGAAAAAAATTCACTTTTTTTATTTTGTTTGTTTTAAAGAGAAAAAGGAACTTTGTGGTGTAAAGTTTCATATACTAAACCTGTGCATTTAAATTGCTGCATTCAAAATAATTGAAACTTCCGGTTATGCTCATCATAGAAGCACTAACTGTACCGCTTGGGGAATGAAATATGCTTCGTACAGCTGAACGAAATGGCACTTTCCAGGCACCCTAGAATAAAAGTAAACTAATAGCGTTTCGTAAAAGTAGCCTATGTTACTCGCTGATATTGTAGCTTGCCATTGGTAAAAAAAATTTTAAATCGATTTAGTGGTTAAGGCCTAAACCACTAAACCGATTTAAAAAAATGTTTTACTACGATTACAAAAAAAACTATTAAACAAACAGCAGCTTTTTATGTTTTTTTTTTATGGAATAAGAGGCTAACGACTGGTCTTTAAATGGTAAGTGACTACCGCCGTCCAAGGACACTTGCAGCCTAAGAAACACAAATACGCTGTCATCCTTTCAGTCCTCTTGTACAACTAGAGAGGAGCGAGGGAGGATTGGACCTCTTGTAACCTCACTCACTTGGTACAATATAATAAAAAAAATTGCCTGTTGTCTGTGAGGCCGTGGTATCACTACGATCGAGTCGGTTAATACGGTCCGCAGCTCTCCCACGTTTGTGCGAACAATTTGCACTCAAGATCCAACGATCGTTCCAACCCAGACGTAAATATTTGCATTAGGTAATAAATATTAGAAAGTTTTGTACCCATGTATGTCTGTTTAATTTAGTTATATGAATTTTCGTAGAAAACATACGCTACCTCGTGATGATTGTATAGTTTTTAGATATTGGGTTTAAATGACAGCAACTGTTTACCTTTAAATTTTTGCGGTGTTTGTAAAATTTCAAATCAATTTAAAAAGCCAACTCCCGCATTAAGTATACATATATCCTGTTCCGCGGGGGACTTCACAAACATACATGAAACGTACACAAAGAACATCCAGACTCAGAACAATAATTTGTGGATCACACAAAGTGTCGTCCATGTGGGGATCGGAGCCATAACACTCAGCGTAGTAGTGAGCGGCGTGACGTCATGCAAAATAATATAAAATTGTCTAACAACAGTTTAAAAAAAAATTCGTAAAATAAATAATTACGCACATAGGTATATGGTAAACTTACTTTAAAATATATAGCGTTGACTAAAAGAAGGGAAAGACTGGGGGATATATCTTCTCTCTTTAGCAATTTATTTATCATACCGTTAGTATGTTCAGCAACCTGTAAAAAAATTAAATTACTTAATTATTACAATTAGAACTACAAATAATTAGTTTTGTCTTTTGACGTATCGGTATTAATAGTGCATATATTTATTTGATATTTATTTTACTGTAGGAATACTTTAACAAATTTTTTGGACTCAGTTAATAATGATTAGTGTATATCTCCATCCAATGCTATTTGTGAGTACAAAACAGCAGCGGAAAATTAATATACAAGTGTATACCCGAATTTAATTAGGTAATAGGGCAAAGCATACCAGCAGATATTATTTTGAACAAATCAAATATGAATTTTAAAAAAGTAAGCAGTGGTCACGGTAGACTGATTAATTATTTTCTGCTAAAAACATGTGTATAGAATGGTCACATCTATTTATTATAATTTTTTGATGTTCATTTTATACAAAATATGTTATTGGGTATTCATTTAAGAAAATCTTGCTATTTAAATTAACGTAATACGAACGTTATTGAAATGGGATACCCCGAATTAATTTTTTTTTTCTAATGCCAATGACACATTAAAATTTGGGTTACCCAACGAACACGACTCGCTTCACTGTAATCATCAGCCTATCGCAGGCCACTGCTGGACATAGGCCTCTCCCATTGCACGCCACTTAGATCGATTTTGGGCTTCTCGCATCCAGCTCCTGTCAGCCATCTTGCGCAAATCGTCACTTCTCCTGGCCTGTGGGCGTCCTGCACTACGTTTTCCGAGACGCGTTCTCCTCTCAAGAACTCGTTTTCTCCAACGGTTGTTGGTTCTGCGGCTAATATGGCCAGCCCACTGCCACTTCTGCTTGCTGATAGGCGGTAGGCGGTAGGCTATGTCGGTGACGTTGGTTCTCTGCCGGATCACCTCATTCCTGATGCGATCCCTTAGAGAAACGCCCAGCATAGCCCTTTCCATAGCACGTTGAGCGACCTTGAACTTGTGGACCAGCCGTACCGTAAGTGTCTACGTTTCGGCTCCGTATGTCATGACGGGAAGAACGCACTCATTAAAGACTTTCATCTTAAGGCACTGTGGGATCGACGATGAGAAGACTCGAGTAGCTTCCCAAACGCTGCCCAACCCAACTGAATTCTTCTGATCACCTCGTCCTCGAAGTTGTTTCTACCTAACTGCAATGTCTGCACGAAGTACACTTAATTTTGAACAAATTCGAGAACGGCACCGTGTACCGCAATTGGTTCCGATAATACATGTTCGTTGAACATGACCTTGGTTTTATCCAAGTTCATCCGTAGGCCGATGCGTACAGAAGAGTCAGCTAGGTCATTCAGCATCTGCTGTAGGTCCTGCAACGTCTCTACCATGATGACGATGTGGTCTGCAGATCGCAAGTGAGAGATGTATTCGCCATTGATATTAATGCCACGTCCTTTCCAGTGCAGCGTCTTAAACATGTTCTCCATTGCATTTGTGAACAATTTCCTGGAGATAACGTCCTCTTGTCTCACTCCTCGATGCAATGGTACGGGCCTTGTTTGCTGATTCTATACTTGGACGGACATGGTGGCGATTTCGTAGAGACATCTCATCACTTGGATGTATCGCCAATCTACTTGGCAACGCTGCAGGGACTCCAGAACAGACCAGATCTCGATCGAGTCAAAGGCTTTCTCATAGTCCACGAATGCTAGACACAAGGGCTGATTATATTCTTCGGTCTTCTGTATAATCTGCCGCACTGTGTGGATGTGGTCTATGGGGCCATATCCGCACCGAAACCCAGCTTGCTCCGATGGTTGGAATTCGTTGAGTCTTTGCGCAAGACGGTTCACTCGCTTCACTGACAAGGTTTTTTCCTCTGATAAGCTCAGTATTTTGTGTTGAGGTTGAAATCCAGTAAAAAGCTGTTATGAGTTGGCACACTCGCATACAAAGTATCTAATTGTTCTTGCCTATTGATATAATATGTTAAAATTTTATGTTTGTGTGTGTTATAATTTTTAAAACTGTTTTTCTTCTGTTGGTTGCATTCCTATCGAAGGTTGAACAGTATCATGGCCATACTGTTCATCATAGTATTTTTGAGATAGCCTCTTTCAAAAGGAAATGTGATTTTGCTTTTAAACCATTCACGAATAACCACACACGAAAGTCTTAAACCTACGTCTTTTTGCCCCATTATCTTTATGTACAGACTCCACTCTCTATGTGTCTACAAGTCAAAATTTTACCACTTTTCATCTTACTAAATATATTTCACACAACAGATTTCTGCACAATATTGTACTTACCCACTTATTAACTGTATCAGCAACTTTGGCTGGTCTTGTTGTATCGATTAATTCTATTGCTGATCCAAATATGCTTTGACTTTTCTTTTTAAATTGAGATACCATTTTGAATACGCTAGAAATGTAGATTCTACTAGCGAGGCTTGTCTGAACACCTTTTAAGTATTCAATTTCTTTAAGAATCTGCTTGTAGGTGCTTTTTAACTGTAAAAAGGTAATGTTATATGAAAGTTAAATTTATTCCTTTTTAAATCTCATATCTTATATCTATATTTATTTATTAACTTAACTTAACTAAAACTTTATGTACTTTTAGAAAATGCCCCGGGCATTAAGTCTTCGTATGTACATACGAAGACTTAATGCCCGGGGCATTTTCTTCCAGTCAACCTTTGGTTTGTGTAAAATCTTCTAAGGTAAGGTAGGCACAGAGGTGAAATGTTATGGAATCAATGAAAATATACACGGTTCACTACATACATAAATTTATATAAACACATTCAACACAACACATCATATATATACACATATATATACAATATACCTACCAGACAAGGAGAAAATGAAAACAGTATTTTATGCTCTATGTCAATCACAACTGACATATTGCGTCACCACGTGGGGAGATACGAATAAACCAGTTCTTGAGATTTGAAAGAGCCCAACGAGCTAAAAGTAAGCCTTTTCCTACCGTTTTTTCCTACTATCGATCTATAGAAGCAGTGGGATGTATTGACTGTTCGCCAGCTATTTGTACTGCACACTGTAATGAGGCAACACACACTTCTGAAATATGAACCTAAGAGTGTATCAAACAAACGTAGAAACTAGACTTAGTTTAAAAGCTACATTCAACACAAGTTTCTCCCACCGTTTCTTTGTCTACAAAGATGTAATTTATATAACAAGTTAAGTAGGGTATTGGATATTTGGACGCCAAGTACTTGATATGGTAGTATCTGTCTGTTTGATTTTAGTTATTAGAAAATGATTACGTATTTATTCTGACTTACCTCATATGAATGTTTTATACCAAGAGCATCCAACAATTCCTTTTTCGAATTAGAATGTTTCTTGGCTCCAAGTAATAATTTTGCTAATGGTATCATTGCTGATAGTGGTGAACATATGATATTTTGCCCATGACTGTCTAATCCTAGTTCCTAAAAATAGAAAAAGTTACAAATGACAGTTGGCCTCATACGTGTTTCCTCTGATAGTAAATAAATATAATCCTAGTTACATTCACCAAGTTGCAGAAACATTTTTAAATGTTTATAAAGCTGTTTATTTTTGAAGTTTTTATTTTTCTTTCATCATCATTTTACCCTTGAGAATTGGCCGTTTTTTGGTATAGGGTGGCAAAGAATTAGACGGGTCAGCAGATGGTAAGTGGCCACAGCTGCTTGCGGACACAGGTGTTTGGAAGCCTTTTGATTACCTATATGAGCTAGTCTCCTGACCAGGCAACTGACCGCGTTAAGAAGCAGTATTAAAATATTGCAGTTTTGATCTATTCTGATATATCTGTCCGTGTGGTGACGGATTAAGAATACAAATTGTCACCACCCCAATTCATCCCGTGGGTGTCGTAAGAGCCGACTAAGGGAGCAAACTAAGCAGGACAACAGCACTGCAAAGAGAAGGAAAACTTGAAACAAACCCGTCTGGCCAGCGTGGTATAGTAGGCCAAAACCTCCTTTCTAAGGAGAGGCCTATGTCCAGCAGTGGACTAGTATAGGATGTTGATGATGTTGATGATCTATTAGAAGAATCAAAAAGTTTTAGGTGTTAGAGTCTAACAATTCAAAATCACTCTCAGTAATTTAAACAGTTGTTGATAATATGTTAATTTTTGTGATAACCATTATTACAAAGATAAACATATTAATATATTTCTAAATAAATAATTATTAAAGATAAACTAAACCTAGACACAGAGCAAATTATCATGCTCAAATCGAACCTGCAATCTATAGCTTAGCAGTTAATCTATGGCTAATCACTGCACGACGACATGACAGTCAGGACAATATATATAAGTACACATACTATGACAAATAATTTCCTGATGTTTCCTCTAAAGTCCAACGTGGTCTCAACATGGGGTATGTAATCAGGTTCTTCTTCACTACTTTCCGACATATCGGAATCTTCGATAGAATAATAATCGAGTTTACTACTTCCTGATAGAGAAATGAGAATAACTGCGAATAAAAGAAAAAAATATTATTTTTGATGGACTTTGGACAACATAATTGAAACTTTCCAGTTCTCCTTTAATGTTTTTCTTCTTCTCTTTTGAACCGCATTCTTTTTTTAAGCTTGCTTTTAACTAAAATGTCTATAGCTGCAGTATGAATACAGGTAATTTATAGGGTCTTTTCAGAAATATTTACTAGCACAGATTTTCGTGGTTGAATCCGTAACCAAGACTGGCAAGAAGAAAAATATGAACCGCAGAACCGAACATGGAGGAAATAAATGACCGGCATATCATATTACAAAATGTGTTTTCGTTTTTCTTTCGTGTGGTATTCAATTATTATTTTTTAAAGACAACTCCCGCATTAGGAATTTATCCTGTGTCTCGGGGGACTTTACAAACATACATGAAACGGACACAAAGAACACCCAGACTCAGACAACAATTTGTGGATCACACAAAGTGTTTTCCCATGTGGGGATCGGACCCACAACACTCAGCGTACTAGTGAGAAGCGTGGCGACCGCTTGAACCACTACGCCATCCGTGCAGTCAAATCCAAATGAACGAGATTGCCGTTGCGTGATTTATTGAATGCCGAAGTAAAAGAACATATTATGATATCATAAATATAACTTACAAATTATGGAGAGCCTCATAGTTCATAACAAATCATCCGAATACAGCATTCAACAATTGGATGACAGAAATATGTACAACAATTTCTGTAATAACTATGTTGTGGTGAGTAGTAACTATCACCGATAATTCTTTATCGATTACTTGTCTCCATGATTAATTCGTTTTCGTTATTAAAACGACATAAGCAAGGTGGAACTAAATTGCAATAATTTTGCCGTATTTCTATTAGTTTCTAATCTTACCTTTGAAAGGCATGCGTTTCATTTTGTGCTAATCAAGCTGGGGATTTAATAGGCGTATACCCATTACGCTACAATGGATTATTAATAAGTTTGTTATTGTTAATAATAATTTCTACAAATTAATAGTGTTGTACATGTTTCGTAAAGTGAAGAGGCCATATTTTTTATCCCTGGAAATCTTACAGTGACTCTTACCTGATTTACGTGTAACCAGGATGAATACAACACATAATGAAGTGATACTTCTGTTTTTTACAAAGGTCGTTAGTCACAATAACTGACTCTTATCGCATGATGATATGAAGATGATACGAAAGTCCCTGTCAAAATTTTCGGATCATTGATATGTTCATATTTACAGTCGACATGTACAAATCTTGCTAATTGGTTTCCGTTTGATGGTACAACATGATTTGCTGCTGAACTAGTTCGTACCATTTCTTTGGGAGATTCATAAGCCAGGGGCTAGATTTGAATTTAGAAGCATTGTTACATTACAAAAAATGCTAACATACATGCTTAAAGTGAAATAATTAACTTTAGTAAATGTATCACAAACTATGTCTTCAAGACACCTACATCATGAAGGATTATGATTATAATGTATGTAATGTAATGTATTAATAAACTCTATTATTTTTCCTTAATTTTCTACTAGGTACTAGTATTTTCTTTTAAATTAAATGGTACACTGGTACACTCCCAAATAAAAAAAATGAAGTTTCAAAATCAATGACATTCACAAATGACGAAGTTCTGGCGTAATAAACACATAAAATAGCACCGAATTGAGATACTTTTCTTTTGACTTGACCTTTAATAAAAAGAAACTAAATAAATTGAGTTAGTACATTACCAGCCGCAGAGAACAATTAATTTCAAATCCATTAATTTACTAAAAGCACTAAAATTTACTATAATATTATCAGAAATAGAGAAAAAAAATACAATGCGTCAAATAATGATTTATAACAGTGTTTCCTGATATTAAGAACTGTTTAAAAGTTTGAGCGTTCTGAGCATGCGCAGAAAGCGTGTTTGGCAGTAGAAGCGGTCTCATTCATTCCCTAAATCCCAGTTAAATATTGTTTGTCGTGCAGCAAGCACTTACCCCAACGTCCCCGCGAAACCGTAAACTTTTACGATTTCAAGCAATTTTATCATTCAATTTTGAATATTTCATTTTAATTTAGAATTTTAGTGACATGGATTTGCGTATTTAGGATTGTTTGGAAGCGTTATAAGTTCAAAGCTTTAGTGAAAAATGTGATTTATAAATTTTCAACAGTAATGGAACAGGATGTTCGCGAAAATTCAGTTGTTTCTTTAAATAATTGGAATAAATTTAAGTTTATAAATGGATGTGAAGATTTGGACTTACGTGTTTATACTGCAATTCCAATTGACTTTGTATGTAAAGGGTCAAAGTGCAGTAAAAAGTAAGTAAGAAAATTAATATCATTCTTATTATTCCCTATGGCATTTAATAGTCACTCCTATTCATTATTTTTAATACTCTTAAATATACGTTTAGAAGATGGAAGACGATTTTTTTAAGAAAATCACGTTTTCGATCTAACAACATTTAATCCAAATTGTTACGAGATATTGCCGAGATATACGAAATATAATTAAATACAGCAAAAAAAGATCATTTAATTTTTTTTAAAACTACAAAGTCATTTTTGCGTTATAATAAATATGTCTATCAAACACGACAAAGAGTCAATAGAGAAATCAGCTGAGTTCACCCCATCCACATGTACTCGTCGATAGAAGTGTGGTAACTTCTATTGACTGATAGCAATAAAAAAAGTTACATAACTGCTTAATCGCTGTCTTCTGAAATTAAAATACTCTATCAACAATAAATCCCTAACTCTTTGTAGTACATTTTATTTGTGCGGGGCTCGTTTACTATACTATCAACATTTAAATAAAGATAGGGCCATTTCAAAACATAACAAACCTTTTATTTTTATTCAATATATTAGATTTAATGACACCGCAATCGTGTTTTCTTCCCCTAAAATACTTATATAGATTGATGTTAATTGACATCATCACCGTAATCGTTGTTTTGTAAACCAGTTTTATCTGAATACCAAACATTTCTGAATAAAGCAGTAAATATAATGACGTATATAACTGCAACGCCTATGATATTTCACGAAACTTTCGTTTTTTTTTTGTAAAATAATATATGTAAGAGATCTCACTGTTTAAGCTTCGTTCGTAGTACTTATAGTGTAAAATTTAAGATTATAGAAGAATCATATTAATTTTAGATTCCCATCGTCGGTCAGATGGTACTGTAAATACAGATATCAAAAACGACAAGCCTTTAGAACTGCTAGGAAATCAACAAACAAGTCAAGAAAGGGATTACTTTTTGCCTCCAGTATTTACAAATCATGAAGAAAATGAAGACGACGAAGAAGATGATGAAACAGCTTATCTAGACTATGACTATGAGGGCAAAGAATCTAATTACAAAGACTCACCAGATTTGGCAACAGTTCGTAGCGATACCCATGATATCTCTTTGGTAGATGATAAAATACCACTACACACAGCCAAAGATAATTTGCCAATATTTCTGTTGGAGCCTGAAAATACTTATGTTGTAAAAAATAAACCAGCTATATTAAAATGCCGGGCAGCTAATGCTTTAAAAGTAAGTGATTTTTTATAAACTATTATTTTTAATTGCTAGATTATATTTGAGAGATTATTTAACGAAATATGCTATATTATATTTATCATCAACAGCCTGTAATAGTCCACTGCTGGACATAAGCCTCTCCTTAGAAAGGAGGTTATTTATACTATACTATATTTATTTAAGAAAACGTTTAATGTAAGTGTCCTAAAGTGTAAGTCCTGAATTTGTTGCCAATCTAAGATCGTATGTTCGCTTGATGTTAATATCGTAAAACCTCAATAATTAGTTATGGTATAAAAATATACTTGTTATTCTTAACTAAAGTTTAGTGTAAAATGTGTTTTAAGTTTTAAATGTGTAAAGTGTGTTATTTGACGGCCGGATGGCGTAGTGGTTTGTGAAACGGACTTGTACGCCAAAGGTCGCGGATTCGATTCCCGCTCAAGTCAAACTTTTGCATGCAGTAACATTTAATGTTTGCAATATTTTTTTCAATTTTTTTGAAGATAAAAAAGTTTTTAAAAACAGAAACGTACGTTTATGTAATGAGTAAGTTTTAATATAGATAATGCAAAAAAATTTATCATATTAGGTTTTGGACAGAACCTTATTCCTTATACCTTGAATTCAGTCATCAAAAATTCAAGTACTGAGATTTATAAATATTTCTTGGTTAACCCTAAGACATTATATGCCTTTATTTCATGTCGCGCTGACTTTACCATAGCGGTTCTGACGTCCTCGAAAACTAATATTTTATCCAAGAAAAGTGGTTGACCGTACCGTATTCGTTGGTTCACAGGCAAGAAATTACAAAGAAATATGTGTAATTAATAAATAGTTGACCCAAACCGACTAATAATAATAATATAATTTTTAATAAGTTACAATAGGGACTGCAACACTGATGATAATGCAATCTTTAAGTTTTATTCTTAGGAGAGGTTCTCAAAAAATTAGGGGCTACTGCTTTGATATAAAACCATTTATCATGTACTATTTTATTCTATTTATGATGGGAATTTGTTAAAGTAATCTATTAATATTAAATTCTAAGTATTTTTTTGCCTATAACTATACACATATACTTCACATCTATGTAACTGCATCACATACTGTGCAAGAGATCTGTGTCCTTATTTAAGAATATTTCAAAGTATCTAGTACCTCATATGCCTTGTAATATAGAAAGATATATTAATTTATTAAATATCTGTTGCATGTTTACTCCGTACGTCGTTACAGTAAAATTTATTCCAACTCTGTCAGAACATATACATTTTCTAAGTCTGTTGCGACGTCTTACATTTTTAACGAATTTTGGCAGGTATGCGCTGAAGCTAATTTACATACGGAAATTAGCCTAGCATACCAAATATAGTTTATTAGTCATTCATTTGTGTATGCATACATTTATGTACTAATTAAACAACAGTACATTCTTAGGGCTTTTTTGTCGAATTTCGTTAACAAATAACGTTTAGAGAAACTTTAAAATATTCAACATGGGCCTCATGAGTGTCTTTGAAGTCAGGTATAATCTCAATTCATTGCAAATTGATATGTTTTTAGGCAATTATTAGTGTTCGCTCCAAGTAGACATCGAAATGTGTCTAGTACACCCCTAATTACCAGTACAAGGTGACAGAGGGGTGAGAATATTAAGGAAAAATATATAGAACATAATTGGCTGGAATTCGATCGTATTTAACCTTTTTAACTAGAGCCCTGCCCTTATCTATTCCAATTAAGATGGAATTAAGGCTAACAATCAAGTTGACGTCAAAGAAGTGCAGTAATTCGCAAAAGTTACACGGATCGCGGAGTACAGAGATATTTTTGATGGTATTGAATAGAATAGAAAGAGTAATAAAACTATTACGGTAGTGGCAGAGACGTAGACCTCTAGAAAATAGCCGTAAAAATTACTAAGTACTTTACTTTGCTTTGAGTGTAAACTTATAAATGTAAATTTATTGTGAATTATTTAAATTACAGTTAGTACACATTATATTGTTGTGACATCTTAGTATATCTAACAATAATATAATATGCTGCTGCATATTCTAGAATAACACCATAATTACTAATTTCAACAATAGTTATCAAATAAGTTAATCTTTTCAATCTCTCGTCTTCTTTTACTTCATTGCAGTTAATTTAATTATAACATGTTGCATAATGTATGAGAGAACTAACCCTAAAATATTTTACACAAAGGTATTTTTCAAATGCAATGGCGTTCAGACTCAAGCATTGAACTTTGAGTTTGTGGACCCTCAAACAGGGGTCCGCATTATCGAAGGGGAGTGCAAAGTGACGAGGGAGAATGTTGAGGAGTACTTCGGGAGTGACAAGTATCAATGCTCGTGTTTTGCATGGACCAGCCGTGGACATATAAGAAGTCAACCTGCAACTATCGAATTAGCTTGTGAGTGAATTTTCATTTTTTTTAACCAACTGTCAGAAATGAGAACTTATAAATCCACAACGTTGATAAAAACTTATAGGTGATATTTAATCTACTCATATACTGAATATTTAACTTATTAAGATCATAAGAAGAGTTCAATATTTCTGAAAACAGCGCATGATCTCATCCTCATCTGAATATTTCATTTCAATCTACACAGAAGCGAGTGCGTAACATACATATAGAATGATTCATTTTCAATATTTACGTCACAACAAACATTATACAGAACCTCTCACGAATTGCTTTAATCCCCATTTTAATTTAGATATTAGTGTATTTCATAACGAAATAAACAATTTGTGATTGAAACTGTACCAATCTTTAAAGTGAGTTTTACCTTCATGATATTATGTCGCACTCCTGACAAAAGAAAGCTTGCTCTTAAAAAAAACACAAAACAATACGGTGCCAACAACTAGATGTTTTATAAAATACCTATATGTATGTATAATGTATCTTACAAACTATACACTTAAATAAGTCTGGAGTAGAGGAATCATTGGCCAATAAGTTATTCTGAAGTGCTACTTATTCAAGTGCTTCAAAATAATAAAGCAATATGCCTATCCTATCCTATAGTATGTCATTGAACTACATGCAACTCTGTGAGCTGGAGGCTTTCATGACACTTTCCATCAGGTGACCCGTCTACCCGTTAGCCTCCTCTTCCATAAAAAAAATAGCGCGAATAGTTCCACGCCTTTCTAATGTTGGTGAGGACTGGGTGACATATCCCATGGTCATCTGCTTATAAGACGGCTTAACTCTGCAGGGGTTTTAGAGGCTTTCTTGTTAGGGCATCCTGGGACCCTCTTAAGGGCAATAAACTCTCTTCATTGAATATCATATGGTTTTAGCCGGTTCGAGTCCGACATATGACCTTAGCATCGACTACAGATCGGTGACGAATCGTGGGAGCTTTCACACTAAAAAATATTGTAAAAAGGAAACATCACCAGTTCAGCATTTCGTCATAAAGGAATGAATAACCTCATCTTTGTTTGTTATCCAGATATAAAGAAACATTTCTCAGTAGCCCCTCAGTCGCAACTTGCTAAGCAGTATACATCGGTCACATTTCGTTGCGAACCGCCTCCAGCTGCCCCGTTCGTGGAAATATACTGGCTGAAGAATGGGGCTCCAGTTGTCACCGATGACAATGTGCAGGTCTCGAAAGAAGGGGATTTGTTTATTAAACAAGCTACGCTATTGGTCAGTTCCTTACTTTTCTTCCTATACTTTACATATTCAATGTTGTATTTACTAAAGAGTTGTTTTACAAATTAGTTAGGTCAAGTTTTCTGCAAATCATTCTCAGGTTATTAACGAAATGATAGAAAAAAAAACAATAAAAATAGCTAAAAAAAATATTTGTGAACCGTGATAAAATCTCAAACAACTGAGTTTGTTTGCACGCAAATTTATTTGTTCCGATCATTTATCTCATGAATTTCAAGAGATTTAAAGACAACTAGAAAATTTAGATTATTTTTAGTGTGTGTATAAGTATAAGTGTATTTTCTGAACGGAACAATAAAATGGAGCAGAAAATTGTCGATACATATTTGAATAGCGAATCAATTTCCAGGACATGGCGAACTACACATGCGTCGCAGAGAATTTAGCTGGGAAGAGAATGTCCGAGCCCGCGCTCCTCACTGTATTTGGTTGGTTACTATTGTATTTATAAATTTCTAGCTTTTGTTGCTAGTTTCACATGCGTTATTTTTCTTTCCGTAACTAATTTAGACGACAGTATTTTCTTTCTAGATGTTAGTACTATGTCCTTTTATTTTTCACTAGCAACGTGTATTAATAATTTTATGACAATCGAATGAATGATATTATGTATATTGGTTCAAGCATTACTTAGTTCAGTTTTATTAGTTTTAATATTGTTTAATATTATATATAGAACTATTTCGAATTTGAGTTCGCTCGCTCTGACATAGATTTTGTAAAGGCGGAAGGTGAGGTCAAACTTATTTTTTTATTCATGAGCAAAATTGTTTTACTCTCTGCAAAGTACTGTTTTTTTTTGTATTTCTGACAACATGTAAGAATATTTTGTGAGGATTTCTTGGCATTAAAAAATGAAAGTATAACAAGTAAACAAACTTATATTAGCATTGTCAATTTTAGGTTAGGACGTAAAATACATTAGACATTAGTTACTAATCAAAAAATATACGATCCAGTTTTGTTGTAATCATTATTCTTAGTAAACGGTGGTTGGAGTACCTGGTCGGCTTGGAACGATTGCTATTGCAATGATCAAGGAAGAGAGGGTCCCCTAGGAAGGAAGAGGGAGAGAACATGTACGTCACCTAGACCTCTAAACGGAGGGCAGCCTTGTGTAGGGCCTAATGTACAGAAGACTCATGACTGTTTGGACTGTGATTTAGGTAAGTGAGAATTAATTTACCGATGATAATATTCTGATAAAAAGATGAACCTTCATCTTTTTAACATGTTAAGATGTGGATTTAAGAAGTATGTATATACAATTAATGTAGCAACAACATTATGTTTCGGGACAAATGGGCCGGGCTTGACCGGACTGACACCACCGGCCTCACAGAAAACTGATGTTAAGCAATTCTTTCATTGCTTTTCACCTGTGGGGAGGGGCTCAGGGTCGACTCTTGAGCTACAGGTGTTCACGGGTAGTGGTAGTCACTTACCATCAGGGAATCCGTCTGCTCGTTTGCCGCCCTATATCAAAAAAAATGTCAATTAACTGGTTATACTCTAGATACTAAGGATATAGGTGAACATGAAACATATGACTCGAATATTTAATCAAGTAAAGGTACATATTGCTTAGTGAAAAAATCATTAAAGTCAGATGTTAAAAAACTAGATCAGGAAAAAAGAACCTTATACTAAGGTCTTAAAGAGCCAGAACGGTTTATTTGTCATTTGAAGTTTTACTTCTAGAAAAGGATTTTATGCATTAAATTAGTTGAAGGTTTCACGCTCATTACATGAAGGTAGAAAATCTTTAATTACTTACGCGACGCATAGAAGTTGGTATCTTAAGAGTACATGATGGCATCAATACAATAAGATACCGCCAAATATCTTTTTGATTAATAGTTTAAAGTAAAAACAAAGTAAAAGAAAGCGTACACAATTACAAATGCATACAAAATGTTACTAATGTATAAATAAAATAAAACAGTGAGGTTGTCAGACCACCTAATTGAATGTAAACAAGCACAACATTTCATGCATCATTAACAGCCTTTACTAGTCCACTGCTGGACATAGGCCTCTCCTTAGAAATTAGGATTTGGCCTACTATACCACGCTGGCCAGACGTTTTGGTTTAGGGTTTGTGTCAAGTTTCCCTTCTCTCTGCAGTGCTGTTGTCCTGCGTAGTTTGCTCCCTTAGTCGCCTCTTACGATACCCACGGGATGAATAGGGGTGGTGACACTCTGTATTCTTAATCCGTCACCACACGGACACATATCAGACGTAATAGTTAGCGATTATAGTTTTGGTTATCATGTCCACCGTAAAGTTCGTGAGACCTACATTTAAAACAAGTATTTAGTCCGAATAAAATGTGATGTTTTCTAAAGTGAAAATGTTCATACGATACTCTATTTTGTGTTTTTTGTATTTATTTAGATGATGATCTGGACGAACTCGCAGATGAATCACCGGATATGTTATTAGGTGAGTCATTTGTGTATTTGTCGGGTTGTTGTCTTGTAAGGCATAGGTTTTTTAGAACTAGAAGTCGCCTAGAGATCGATTTTCTACTGTTTTGAACCTTTTGGTTTTTTTCAATGACCGGTTCAATTTAAACTGTAATTGCGTAGAAGTTGTACTCTAGCAAGTTAAAGTATATACGTTCAGTCACCTATTAATGGATTTTTGTTTAAGTGCGTATGAATTGAATTTAGTTTTACTTATTAAAATAGGTATATAATATTTTTTCTTATTGAGTTGACTGTACTTAAGTTATATTCTGTATGTTATTGATCTTATTATACTTAGATGAATAATTATTTTTAGTTATCTTATTCGAAGTCTAAACCCTGACAAATTATAGGTCGCTGGTCACAGTGGTCAGAATGGTCAAGGTGTGACTCCGACTGCCTCCGCAGCAGAAGGAGAAGATGCCTTACTATCACCGTGTGCCGAGGCACTGATCAACAAGTTACACAGTGTCCTCTTTGTGTGAGAACATCCAAGTCTGATATCAGTGATGGTACGGTTAACAAAGCGCTATCGTTTTTCAGCTGTACTATGATGTATCGTTCACGGCTTTTTTATTGACACTTATATATCTTCCACAGGTTCCTCATACTGGCCTGTTTTTGTAGCGTTGACGGTCGCTTTTCTCATATTTATTGTAGTAATTATACTGGGTATAAAATACATCAAGGTCAAAATGAATGATACTTCACCGTACGTGAAACCACCGAGTGGTAAGATAATTCTAGGTTAATTCCCTTATCTAAGCTTTACATTTGCTTGGGTAAAAATGTGCATCTGTGCTTTTTGACATATTTTAGACAATTTTGTAATCGCCAAAACTAGGCTTTAAAAAAACATGGAGGAACTTTGACTAACCGGATTTCGAATAGCCCAGAAATCGTTCTTAGAATCTCGAAACTTTAAATGCAGACTGATCTCTGAAGTTTTGAGACCTTCATCAATCTTTGCATTGTATACAACAAATGAATGTTTTTTCAAACCAATGTATGATTTTTCATGTATGAATGCTTTTTTATTTCATCATATTCAAAGTTTGTTTCCTAATAGGTTCAAACTACTTTGGTAATGTTATAAAGAGGACGCTAACTAACCAACCAGATCTCACAATACACGAAGAATTTCAAACTATAGATTCTAGAAGAACGCATAGGCACATGAGCACATCGACAAGACACGAGCATTTATATGAAGTACCACAACTAGCTAACAGGTAAGTAACTTAATATTAATAACCTTTTACACATGACCGCCGTCTGGTCCCAACTAGGCAGAGCCTGTACCATGGTAAATACTGGTAAATATACCAGTACAAAAGGCTAGTGCAGTCAACGTTAAAGTTAGACTTACAGCTGAATTTGTCCTATATCAGAGATCTGATAATTTGATTACGTAATCTCTTAAAGTTATCGACATTTTTTAAGTAAAGGATCCTTCTATCGAGTCGAATGTTGAGTGTCCAAAAAGAATGTAAGAAGAAAATGCATTCCACCCTAAATAAATTTGGGATCAGGATTGGCAGATAATAATGATGATGGAAATTTTCAAGTATTTAATTCCTTTGGTGTATTTAACTTAATTACAAGAAAAACCAAAAGATTTTTCTTAAATGAGAAGATTTTTTGGTTTGAAATCCTGATTTTTGTTCTGGAAACGTATAAACATCGATGAAGGATGTGTTACTCTATCTTTACCTCCAACAATAAGGATATGAACTTGTTTTAAATTAGCCAAAATTACAATAATGTTCTATTTTGTTGTCGATATGACGACATGACAAATTTAAAATGTAGTTAAAATAGATATATAAATATATACAAATAGATACATAATTAAATCGATAGAATGAAATTAAATTTTGTTTAGTTTTAGGTATGCACTGTTGCTTAGGATCAAATTAAAACCATTTTAAAAAGATAAGCACTAGAACTTAATAAGTACCCAGGTATTTTAATTTAAATATCAAAATTTGACTAACTTATGAAAGAATATCGGCGTAGTCTTATTTGATTCTAATAATAACCACTTCACCATGTTGGATTTTGAGTAATTATCCACGTTACTTTTATCATAAACAAATTGTAATCAATACTTTTTATTACAGCTACATCTCACCAATAGACCAAGAGGTAAGAACCGAAAGACATGGAAGTGACAGGAATTACACTTGCAAGGGCAGCGTTGAGTCAGATCGATCTGATTCCAGTTGCTTTTTGAGCTGTGAGTTCACAAATATGCACTTTAAAGAGACATATGATTGCAATTTAAATTAATACATATTTCAATTTTTATCCAATCAAGAATATATTATTTACTATTTTAATAGTCAAGGCGGTAGATAGTTATCTACCGCCTTGACTGTTGGTGATTCGTGAAATGATTTAAACAGTAATTTAAACAGTCGATGTTTAAGCGCAAATCTCTTGTAATCAAATGACTCTAAGCTTTACACGGCTTATAGAAGCTTAATTTTAGAACAATTTTTCTTCGCTCTAAGTATTTTTTTCTTTACAGCCGGTTCGTCGTATGGCAATGAAAGTGTAGAAATGTCTCCATCTCTAAAAAACAATGCATCTATAGATTCAAAATTTTTCACAAAACATTTGGATGTAGCTTCTTCCAAAATAGTATCTTCAGATGGCGACTGGTTGAATTTGAATAAATGTGGAGTAAGCTTGTTCATCCCCGATGGAGTTGTCGATAAGGGTGAAGAGTTATTTACAATTGAGGTCGCAGACGATGACTGGAATAGGCCTCTGCTCCAGGAAGGTACGCTACGAACCCACAGTTACGGATTTAGATAAACCTTTTGACCCAGAAATACCTGGTATTTTATTCAGTATGTTTTATTTAAGGTTTAAGATAAATTTATTTTTATTAAAACTGTTCGGATCGTCAAGACATCAATATTTTAGGTATAAAATTTTAGTTTACGTATTTGTTTATAATTGCCAATAGTAAAATTTAACAAAGATACACTTTACAATGGTAAGAAATAAAACAGCTGCAATAGTTTTTGAATGTTCAATAGCAAAACCATTGATCAATACTGACTCCACGAACATTAAAAATTATATATGTATTTAGCTTTATATCGATGTTGGATAAATAAATTTGTAGCATACGTATTAAGGTGTCTTTCGTAAGTCCCCAGTTAAAACAAAACATTGAAATATAACAATATCAAGTTTCTCACAAAGGAATATATGACAAATTACAAACTAGAAAAGTGTTAAGTCCTTAAACATATTTAAAAAATTAACAACTACATCGGTAAGTATAAACATTCAACAAGAAAGTTGTGATTAATATTAAACTTGTCTCTCTGTCGTGTCTGCTGTAAGTTTGGATCTGAAATAGGATTACACTAAACCGCAGTCTGACCTAAATCTTAAATGTCAGGCTGTTCTGACCTCTAACTAAGACAGCTCGCGAACGTCGCGTCGTTATTTTGGAGGTCAGCCACGATTGATTGCCCTAAAACACATTACCGGGTTAGTTAATTAAATATTAATACATTCCTATGAAAGAGTTTTGGAAGTTTATTATGAATACGAGAATAGCTTGTTGGCCATGATAAGAGTTTTGAGGTATAACAGACATTAAGGAATAACAAGTAAATTTTAATTGAACAGGTGAAACTCAACTAAGTCCAGTCATACGGTGCGGTCCCAAAAACTTTCACTTCTGCAAGGGTGTGATTTTATCCTTTCCACATTGCGCGTCTTTGAAGAACACCAGCTGGCTTCTATCTATACTCCAAAAGCCCGAAGAAATCAACACGAGGGAGTGGCGGAAAGTTTTGACTTTGGGACAGGAAACACCCGGATCCCCACTTTTCGCCCAAGTCGACCCTTCTAAAGTTTACTTAGTGAGCGAATTTCTGAGCGACTTTGTTCTAGTAGGCAGAAGTTTTAGCGGTCTAGATGCGAAATTATTAAAACTTGCTTTGTTTATATCTAAAAAAATGGATGATAGCTACTATAGTTTAAAGATTCATGTATTTAACGATACCCCTTATGCGTTCTATGACTGTTTTGAAAGTGAAAAGCGGTCAGGTGGGTCATTGCTTTGTGACCCAAAAACTATTTATTTCCAGGAAAATTGTTCAGATTTATGTATCAATATAAGAGAAGTAGGTATAGGGTGGAAAATTCAATCTGGGGGAAAATACCAAGAGCTAAGTTATTCACAAATATGGAATATGACCAGATCCCTGCAGTGTATTTTTGTACTCCAACAAACGGATTCTATAAATTGCTTAGAACTGAACATATGTGTTTATCAGAAACAAAAGCAATCAAATTCTGTCAATTTCAATTTAAAGACTAACGATTTGAATTCTAATATTGGTAAAAGGCTCAGTTGTTCGAGTGTAGAGACTGTTAATATATTAGAGAACCCGTTCAATTATTCTTCATTGCCTAAAAAGGAAGGGAGGTACGATTTTGTGTATAAGAATAACAGTTTTAGGAATTACTTAAGCGTTGACAATAATTACCGGACTAATGTGTTGACCAAGTCGGATAGAGTGATACTGTGTAAACTTTTGGACTCTCAGACAGTTAAAGGCAACGACTGGCGGCTGCTGGCTGAGAAATTAAAAGTTTCCTCTTATTATTATTATTTTTCAAACACATGTTCTCCAACTGAAAATATTTTGAATTTATGGTTGTGTAGGAACAATGATGCAAACATGTTGGTCAATTTGTCGAGGTTATTCAGAGAAATGGGTAGGATTGATTGTGCGACAGTTGTTGAAAGGCGCTGTTTTCCCAACTGAGGGATATTATGGACGTAGGCCGTTGAGAAAAAATATTTTTATGTATTTACTTCTTTTATTGAATCACTCTTTGGCGGCAATATTGTATTGTACGATTGACTTTTGTTTAGTGATTTTTTCACTTTCCTTTGTATTGTTTCAGTGTTATTTCTTTTGTGTGTGTATGCGGACTAAAAGCTTATTTTTTTGTTATTTATGAAATGGAATATTTGTTGTTTTTGTAGTTATTTCTATTCAATTTATATGTCATTTCTTTAATAGAAACGAGTTTTATATGTAACGGCTACTAACTTGTTTGGAACATTGGTGTTTTTTTTTTTAATTTGAAATATTTTCATTATTTTATATACTTTGCAATGAGACAAACAAACTCTTTGTAAATGACACAAACAAATGTTTATAATTAAGAACCATCGTGTTCTTCGTCCATGTTTCTGACTTTGAGACGTTTCACGTGTAGCCTGCCGCCACTTTTATTGATTTTTTGTACATTAGCTGACACTGTAGTGTGTTTAATTAATAATGAATTTAAATTAGAAATGCTTAGTATTTTACTAAAAGAGTATGTTTGTAAAACATTATTAGTTGTATGTAAATGTAAATAATATAATGAACCAAATAGATACTGTATTGTTTAGATAAAAAAAGGTAGTGATTTCAATTTTTGAATTAAATTAAAATAATGAAAAATATCTTTACTTTTATTACCTTACTTCATTGAATAAAGATCTAGAGACTCTCTTTCCCTACAAAGAGAGGAAAAAAATTACCCTCAATTTAAATAGGTAATAATTTTAAAATCTACTATTCCAATGGTAAACTCTCATAAGAAGTACGATACATACGTACGATAAGGCGTCATAGCTGAAAGTGACGTGCGCCTGCAAACGTCGCCGTCGATAGTATACCTTGTCATAATAATAAAAAAATAGAAGTATTAATATAAATATTCATATTCAAACTCAATCTCTACTAAACAAAACTGCACATTAATTTTCAATAAAGTAGTACTTACAGATACATGCCACAAGTATTTAAATCAATGTAAGAAAGTATTTTTGTATATCGATTTTAAATTGTACATCTGAACAGCTGCAGGGGGTATAAATTAATTAAAAATTACTTACATACAAGAAAAATATTAATTTTGATGAGACTGTATAAAATCTGTGACCTGGGCTGGAAATGAATTAGTGTTTTACATATCCTTCTCACTTCAGTTTCTAGACTATTAGTGCTAATATAATTCAGCAACAAAGTATAATAAGTTTTATTTTTAGTACATCAAACATTACACTGTTTCATTTTCTACTTAATAGGTCACAAAACAGTCTTGTTGGGAAGGATCCTCTTCATGAAATAGCGAATGCGTTAAAGATATAATAACCGTAACACCTCGTCTTTATGAGGGGATTTCTTCAATAGAATCGACTTGGAGCTCCAGAAATTGTAGCGTGTGGGATAAGTAAAGAACATAAGCGGTAAGGTTTGTATTTGTTGTTATTACTATTGATTTAGAAAGTCTATGAAAAATAGTTCAGCTGAAAGAATAAAATTACTCTTAATGCAGGCAAAGTTTAATAAAATATATGGATAAATAAATACTAAATAATTTGCTTCACCTGTACTTGTTCTCTGGAATGCGCTCCCATTTGAAATCAAGATATCAACAACCCGTTTCACATTTAAAAGAATGTAGAAAATTACCTTCTTGAGACGCCGGCATCATCTAATCAATAGTAAACCTCTTTATTTGCAGTGTACGAATATAAAGTATATGTATTTATGTGTATTCATGTCATCATCATTTATGGTAGTTTCTATTAGTTGTATGTATTTTTGAAAAAAAAAACTTTTAACTACTGATTACAACTGAAACCTCAGTGCACCTACCTTACTAGATTTCTACACCACCCAAAGGTTGGCTGGTAGAGAATTTGCCTTAGGAAAAGACCGCCGATGTACATAAATACATAAAGTTATAAATAAATAAATATGTATACTATTTGATTCCATCCAAAAACTACTTCCTGAATTATTTTTAACCTTACTTTACTCTAGTTAAATCCTTATTTACAGTTCTTTTCATTATCCCAAATTCCTTTTTAAATTAGTTAGTTAAAAATTGTAGAGGTACACAATAGATATACTGAAGTGAAAATACAATTCACAGCACGATTATACATTTAAGACTGTTTTCATTTGTCATTTAGACCAGACGCAGCCGCCGAGCACCGGAGGAACGTGTTTTCAATTATTAAACAATGCAATCGTCTTGGCCGGCACAACCCTAGCTTTAATACTTGATACTTGAATACCTAGTATTTGGGTCATGGAACGTGGAATATACGCCAAACCGTATCGGTGTAATGCCGTCGAAATTATTTAGTAGTTAGATATCTCAACATGAATTTCGGATCGCTAAGTGAATTTGTGAAGAATGATTTTATTTTGTTTCGTTTAGTTTTATATTTTAAGTGATAATAGAAGACGATTAGTTTTTTAACCATATTTATACTACAATGATAAATTTACTGGTTAGTTATCATCAAAATTATTAATAAATGTATACCATAAGTAATCAAGATAAATTAGAGTTTTAAAATATTCAAGTATTCCACATTTTTCGGCTAAAACAATTTTAACCGTGATTGTACAATAACGACAGTTCGAGTACTTTGAGCTCTAATATTTACTGATCTCCTACGAGTACCATAGTTTTTAGTTTTTTTTTTCTGTTATTAGGGGGTAAACGAGCTGTCATCTGATCGTAAGTGGCTACTGCCACTTATAGATACCTACAACCTAAGAGATACAAGTGCGTTGTCCACGCACAAAGAGGTCAAATACCTAGGTGTAATATTAGTCAGTAAACTCCCGTGGAATAGGCAGCTCGAACAGAAACTAAACAAAGCCCGCATTTTCTTCTGCCAACGCAAACGGCTACTCGACAATAGCTGGGGACTATCAAAAAGATTACACTATGGCTCAACAAAACAGTCATACGACCAATAATCACGTATGGTGTCGTTGTCTGGTGGCAGAGAACATATAGAGCAGCAATAGAGGTGACTCTTGGTTTGCCTCCACTAGAATTGTTCATACAGCTTAAGGCAGCCGTGGCGATCGTTAGACTCAAACACCTGGGTCTGTGGCACAAAGAACGATGGCACTCTAAATTATGGGATCAATCAGTGAAATATGAACCACTATTAGTAGCCCCATGCGTCATGATCCCAAAACACCATATCTTCACAAAGAGATACCACATTCTGACACAAGAAAATGACCGAGATGAATCCAGATTGTATCCATAAACAGAGTACGAATTTACTTCTTTTCTTTTCTTACTTTAATTTTTTTAAATAAAAATATTTATAAAAATACTCCATCTTACTAATTAATAATAGAATCCATGCTTATATTATAAATGTGAAAGTGAGTTTGTTTGTGTGTATGTTTGTTTGTTACAAAACTACCGAACCGATTTTAAAAACACTTTCACCAATGAAAAGTTTCATTAACAGCGTACATTTCATTAGCAACATACAGGCTACTTTTTACTTTTTACCGCGATAACCGACAAACACGTGCAAAAGATAGTAAATAAAACAGTGAATATAGAGATATATATATATAACTGTATTTGTGTAGCAACTTTATTAGAATACGTAATGCTTAAAAGAACTATAGTCGCACATGGGTATTGCCCTTAATATGTATCGTTAACAGTTTTCGATATTTTTTATTGCAACAAAGAATTAACAATCCATTGGCTACCAATTATTTATATTGGAAATTACCAATTACCCATTTATTTATATTGGAAATGTTCGAATATGGAGAAAAGGAGAATATTATTTTTTGTTGCTGGTTTTATTTTCTTTAGTTGGTTGTAAGAAAATAGTTTTACTATAAATATTCTGAACATTAATGGGCAGTATTATTGAAACTATTGTAATTATGTTCTCTTATGTACTCTTGTATGTTTTGTTATGTACTCTAACCCAAAACAATATTTCATTTTTATATTTATGTAGATTTGAAATTATATATATAATGTATAGAAATTATATATATAATATAATATAATTATATATATAATATACACGATACTACATAGATACTAATGTTTCTACATAGAAAGAGATACCTAAATGTGGTAAAGGTGAAAGCGAAAGAGACAGAATCGAAAAGTTTGTTTGTGTTGCACAATCTGCCTATATGCCGGTACCTATGCGACTTTAAATCTTTAAGAAAAGTGTACTTCCACACAAAGTCCAACAATGCACTTGTCACTGTGGAGATTTCAGTGCAGGCCAATCGTAGCGTAGAATGCGGTCACCGTGACTATCGAGTAGAAGTGAAATAAACTCGCACTTGGCCTTCAGATGTCGAGGGGCGGCGATACTCACTTATCATTAGGTGCCAAAAATTGATAGTCGGCCTCTATCAGCTCTTAAATATAACAGCATATAAACTTACCAGGAATCCCACTCAAGTATTATGATAATACTAATAGTCATGGCATTTTGACTATAACGTAGTGTTTGTACCAGACGGTTAAGGTAAAAGGAATAACTCTAGGCCAGTATAAAAAGATTATAATATATTATTCACCGTTACAATTCAAATAATGAAATGAAAAAAAACTATTGAGTTGTAAAAGCAGAACGGGTGAAATCGGGTAGTGTTAATCGGGAAGTGTCGACGCTCCAGTGAGCGATGTAAAATTTAATGTGCCAAACTAATTTTCCGTACAAACATGTAGCTTTACTTAAAAACAAGTAGTCAAACAGCAAGAAAACTGGTAATATTTACGGGTCTTTTAGCAACTTTTTAAATGAATCAGAAGACACTATTTTTTTAATATTGACACTAATATTCGTTGCACAAATTACACCGATCAAACGAAACTGAATAAAACAAAACAGAAGACTAAAACTTTTAAGTAAAACTCCGTCGTGACGTGAACACCTGAGCACAGGTTTTAATTGGAG